TTTTTCTATCTCTCTCCTGCTGTGCACCAGAACCTGCAGAGCCTAGAACGGATTCTGTGATGCAGCGCAGCTCAGTGCCTGCTGGATCTCTCCAGCTACATGCGTCTCCCATTTCCATATAATGAACTCTGGAGACAGGCTGCTTGAACAAAGGAGTCTAACCTTCTCAACGCTGCAAAACTATTAGCTCTGCTTTTCACATCTCCCAAAATGCTGTCATTAAGTAAGCACTTACTAAGCACCAGCTTTAATAAATGGTTTAATAGAATGATTTATTCAACTATTTATGAGCTGATTAGCATTTAGCAGATAGTTAAATACTAGACACATGATGAATATACATAACTCCTCATGAAGTTTTAAGCTGACACAGGACATGTATTAAATAAAAATTACAAAATGCATGTAAAACACAACATGACTGTCGCATCAAAGGAGAGCTAGATTAGATGACGCTTAACATCATCATGGGTTCTGATTTTTTTTTTTTACTGTTACCTTCAGAAATAGTATCCGACCTTTAATCTATTGTTGAGAGAAAAATCTTTGATAGAAGACTGGATACATTTTCAATTTTTAAAATCACATTTTTCAGTGTATACCTCATAACCACTTCATCACCAGGGAAATACTGCTTTAATCAATGTTCATCAAGACAGATACTCTATCTCATGCTGTTTTACAGTGTTTAAGATAAACCATTTGCTTTCATAACACACACACTCTTAGTAGGTAATCTATGTACCAGTAAAGATATAATTGTATGTTTCTACTGAAGCAGACAAAATGTTTAAGAGATTATGTTTTCTATGAAGACACAAATGGTTTAATTATAAAACAGAACATAACATCAGAGCCCTCTGTACTGTTAATTTTCAAAGGAATCCAGCAGCAAAGGAGAATATGAAGCACAAATAATTTAAGATTCAAGTGACAGATCAAAGGTGAGAAATTTCAGTATGAAACAAAGCTTCATTACAACCCAGTGGTTTGTAATTCTTCCTGGGCAAATGCAAATAAATGAAACTAACTTTAAATTAAAACTGATTTTAGAAAGTATAGACCAACATTATAAGTACTCTCACTAACTAAAATTGCAAATCCAATTGTGATGTCATTAAAAAAAATGAAGGTTATGAAAGACGAACAGGCCAAGTTAGTCATCTCATGAAATGACACAACTGACAATTCTCTCAAGAGGTGATGATCTGAGACTAGCAGGTGCCATTGTTCACAAAACCCAGATGGAAGCTGTGATTCTCCTTCTCAGTGGGGCTCAAGACAGCTGAAGGCTATGGCATGTTTCTGAAGGTTACTTTTGCAGTATATCTACCTGAACTTTCTGGTTCCAGAAGTTAGGTCTCCCTAACAAAAAATGTCACCTCTTGACCTGTACTGAGTAACAGATTTTTTTTTTAAGGATGCATCAGTAGTTGATCCTTGATGTAACTCATAGAATCAGTTATATAAATGTGATGGAACACAAAGAATACAGTGTTACATCACAGATGATTATATTTTACAGATGGATTCAAGACCCAAACAGCCTCTAATAGTCATTTTTCAACAGGCATAACAGCATCCAGAAGTCTTTTCCTTGTCCTTGTTCCTTTAGGGCGCCGTGAGAAGCTGAAGGCAGTACCTTCTTGTGCCCAGATGCGCTGGGTAGGAAAGCAGCAAAGCATTGAACCAAACAGAATTGTCAGAATATTCTTTCAAGCTTATATTAGGAATTATCACTCTCAAAGGGATGAGGCTCAAACTGAATTTTAAAAATGGAATTACGACTAATTTGAACAAAAACTGGAATGATGGGAGAGAGTGAGTAGGTTTAAAAGCCCATTCTTAGTGTAAAGTTTTCACTTATTTTATAACATAGAAAATAATTATGTTTGCAGGAAAAGTTTTCTAAATCTTTCAAAGTCTTTAGTGTCACACTCCTATTAATATGTCAGTGGCATTTGCTGTCACTGGTTGCAGTTTGTCCAGGCACATCTTGTATGAGAGCACAATGTTATTCTATTAATTAAGTATGGGCCAAGCAATGTTTTGTTTGGAAAACCAGTTCTGTCTGCTTTCAAAAATCAAAGATTTTAAAACCACTCTCCATTGGGGGGGGGGGAGAGGGACTGTCATCTGCTAAATATAGTATTATGGTCTACATAAAAATAGATGTGAATCACAAAACACAGACAGCAGAGTCAACATGTCTCAGCTAATGTAGTGGAGGAAGAAGCCACAGAGATGACCCCTATGACCGTGGCAGTGGAGTTTAAGGTCAGGGCAGCACACAGCAGCTTCTGTGATCACATAGGCTGACATCTGTCTCACTGGGGTAGCTTTAAAGCATTCAGCCACAATTTTGGCTGTACACTGGCTCCAGCTGATTGTAACAAAAAACAGGAGCTCAGCCCAGGAAAGAAGTGGTACCACTTGGGCTCTGGAGAAATGAAAAACCCTGGCTCTTCAAAGGATCCCGCATGGCAGAAGCATGCTCTGAAATCTTGCTTGTCAGCCCAAAGCCTTGAGACTCCACATCTGTGCAGGAGACCCAGAGGAAGCTCCTGACTCTTAGCTTCGGATTGGCTTAGTTCCAGCTGTTGTGGACACTTGGGGAGTGAACCAGTGGAAGGAAGATCTTTGTCTCTCCTCCTCTCTGTACATCTGACTTTCCAAAACAATCAATCAAACAAACAAACAAACACATCTTTTAAAAAGTTTATGGTATGAATCAGTACACAGGAGACTGTTCTATCTCTTTCCCTCCATCTACTCCTCTTTTTCTCTGCCTTTAAAATAAAAAATAAAGACCAAAACCAAAAGATAACAGTCCTAATTAGGAACAGACTGGTTGAGTATGGGATTCAACTTCCCTTTTCTAGGTTTAAACTGTTCAACAGAAGTTGGACAAATTAGCTTACCAGGAGGTGAACATGGATTAGCTCTAAATTTCCTTTTTTGTATCTTTCAGCGAAGTAGCAATCATAGCAAAAGTTTCTGTATTTGTATATTTAAAACAATACAACTACTTTTGATATGGATTTCCCTAGGCAACCTGAATTTCAGTGTAACACGTGATCGCCATCTGCTGGTACAGCGTGAACTTCTATTTCAGTTAAAAACTAGAAGCCACAAGGTTTTTATTAAAGTTAAAAACGAAAAACATAACTGTCAAATCTAGAAAATGCATAAACTTTAAGGCATTCAGGGTAACAATGCTATCTATACACACAAAATACAAAGTTTTTGCCATTGTGTTTCAAGTGGAAACATGTTTAGAAATCATAAAATTTTTTTTACTCTATATAAGTTCTGATTGGTGTCTTCATTTCCCTGAAGTGTATATTAAAGGAGACAGGAGAAAAATAATGATCTCCAAACAAGGAAAGGAAATGAAAACATTTTAAAGACTCAAAAAATTGCAAAATAGGAAAAATCAGTACTATTAGTGCACTGGTTGAGACATTAAAAGGATCATGATCAGGGTTCCAGATTATTCTATTTTATCACATAACATTCCAAAACCATAATCATGTAAGTTGTGTTAGAAAGTGGTGACCCCTCCCCTCCATCACCCATTATCACCTCACAGAGATGGGGGACTGGGAGGGTTTCAGAAAGTCAGTTGGCAACAAGTCCCTGCTGTGAACACACCTGTAAAACTGGCAGGTGCCGTGGATCTGGTCGCAAGGCATCACATTGTTATTCATGTCTTCTTAGGAATAAGCAGGGTTAAAAATTAACTTCAAATATAAAGGGGGAAATCTCTGATATGCACCTATCTATCAATAACTATCTGATGACATAACCTGTATCTATGTGGATCTCACCTGCTTATAAAAACACATAATACCAGGCCTTGGTCATGTGCTATATAACATGGGAAACAAACCATGTTTCCTAACATTATCAGAATCTGCTGAGGAGACCTGATAGCAATACCTACACAGGATAGAGGACCGTCTTCAGGGAGAACCTGGCAATATCCTGGGCAGAAGGAATTCAGTCCCAGAAGGTTCTGGGAGGTGTTAACGGTGCTGGCCACCCTTCATGACAGAAAGGACAAAACTCAACAGACAGGAAGGAACAAAGACACTGTCAGCCTTTAGTTACTTGGAGGCAAGATCACCCAACCTGTGACTCTCACAAGCCAGTTTAGATGTGCAAACATGAGTACAGAAGAAGGAAGCAATCATAGGGTTTTATTTAATGGAGAAATTAAATGTCAAGATGAAGACATGTGGGTGCTATACAGCCTGAACACTGAACAGGAGTGAGAATTTCAGCTCACATTCTTAGGAACTGCATTAGCATGGCTAAATTATTAACTGGGCAGTTGCCCTGATATCTTCATATGTGAAACAGGGCTGATAGCATCCCAAAGGGATAGTGTGAGGATCACACACAAGTTACCAGATGAAATGGCTGCCTTGGAACCGCTCTCGCACACAGCAAGTACCCCACAGGGCTGTATGCTTCTTTCTAGGGAGCAAGAGTTCTCGCAGTTGACACAGCACCCATCACTTGTTCTCAGGAAACTGAGGCAGAACAGCCTAATTCACCTGTGACATGAGACGTGTTTAGCTGTGAGCGAAATGCCAGCAGTGTGTAAGATGAGCACATAGAGTGGCCAGGGTTGAGTGCTGGACTACTCATGTATCTGTCATTTATCATTGGCTACAGATTTGCATATACTGTATTATTTTCATGCTATTTTACATCCTCCATGATATACAACTACTAATCTTAGGCACACATGTGCTGGTGTGTAGCATGTGTATGGTTCAGCTTGCTCCACATCCCCAGTGACACAGAAACAACACGTGGAAGATACTGGCACAAAGACTACCAAGCCTTGCTCTCAGAATGTGAGAATGGTGAAGATCTATACAAAGCATCATCTAATCCCAGACTTTTAACCTAGATGAAGACCTGTGCATGCTTGAGCCATGAGAGGAACTCCAACACATCCTGTAGGTTCCAAGCAGTGGCCCGCCTACCTTCTCAATGAGCTCGTAGCTCTCTTCAAGCTTGAGCAGCCTGTTCTGCACAGCCGTCGAGGCACGCTGGTACACCTTGCGCCACTCCTGAAAGTCGCTCTCTGAAATCTCAGCCACAGCAAAACACAACGTCCTAAGCCCTGAAAAAGAGCACAACCACCAGCTCCAAACCCTGGGAAGATTTTATTCAGATGTCTGCAGTTCTCATTTGTGTGTTGACATCCAATTCAATGATGGCAGGGTCTTAGTGTAAAGTACATCTGTGTTCCCCTTGCCTTGAAAGCTGCCATCTTGCTTCTAATCCCCAGTGCTTTTTGTGCATCATCTATGCCCAGACTGACCTTCCTGAAACCTTTTTTCAAGCTATTGCTTTGCTTCCAATCTTGCAATTATTTCCCATGATGAAATCCAAACCCCGCCCAAAAGCAATGGCACAGTGATGCCTTATCAGCTGCCTCCAAACACACTCCCTGCCATGTGTTGCCCACACAGCACAGTCTCTGCACAGACTGCTCATTGGTTCTCCATTCCTCTTCCTCCTCCACTAGTGGATGGCCTTTCATCTCCTGTAAGAGTCACCTCAGAAAGTCACTGCTTTGAAGCAGCCTCTCCTCACCCAGGAACTCATGGGCGGAAATGCACAAACACAAACGCTGCAATGCGTGACTGATGTTCTTCGCACTTTTCCTCATGGGTCTCCTTTATTTGATTAGAGCTCCTGGAAGGCAGGATCCAGCATTCTTCATAAGACCTCCATTGCCCTGCACTGTGGCAGATTCAAAACAGTGGCTGCACAGATTCTCATTACAGAAGGGAGAAAGAGCTCAATAGTGTCCCCTGGGACACTGGGAAACTTTCTTATTGGGACACACCCATCAGAGTATTTTTTGCTGACTTGACCACAGCAACTCTGTATTATAAAAAAAAAGTTTTCATTGGGGGTTAATCGGGAAAATAAGCCATCAACCATCAATGTGCCTTAGGAATACAAGGCTGATGTTGGAGATTATCCCCAGTTCAAAGAGTTTGTCAGTCTCAGAATTCATTTCACCCTTACCCAGAGAAAAGTTGTAAGCTGGAAGAGGGATAAAGCAAAAGCATTCATCAGCCATGCAAAGTGGCAGTTATCTCATACTCTGAGTATGATAGGACTACAGGCTATTTTTATGATTGCAATTCAAATAATAAATGCCTACATGAACATGTGAGACATACCAAGCAAAGGGAGTAGGGTATACCATACCCAGAGGATCCTACTTTCCAAGAAAAGAGGAGTGGTGTTCATTGCCAAGTTACTGATAATGGGAACTTGGACCTTGGGGGCTGTATGAGGGGATATTTTTCTCATTTAAGAAACTTGGCTGGGTAGCCATGGAGTACAAATGTCACTTAGTCCAGGGCCAGAAACCAAGGAGTGGAGGTAGGGCCCAGTCTGTCCAGGGGCTGGAATGCCTTTCCCAGCTCACAGAAGGGACATGTGTCCTCCAAACTCCACATGCACACAAGCAGACAGTGATGGAGGCTGAGTGGGTTGGACAACCACTCCCATCTTTTCTCAGTCTGGAGGAAGAGGAGAATGGAGTCAGAGAGCAGGCTTGGTGCCACTGGTGACAGTTCCAGCAGAAGAGGACAGGGATGGAAAGGGAGATGAGAGGGGAGAACCCGGCTGCAACCCCTGCTGTCCTGACACAAGATCAGACAGCACATGCTGGCGGGGGCAGGTGGCAGGGAGGCTTCGCTAGCCTCACTGCCCTTCATTTCATGTGGCCCATCTCTGTGGACGATGTGCCACCAGGACCTCATGTGGTGAGTGTGTCAGGGGCACAGAGGCAGGGCTGAGCTTGTTGTTTGCAGGCCACAGGCCTCACACAGAGCCTGGCATGTGACAGGGACTTAGGAAAACATCTTGAGTTGTAACTGGATTGAGTAACCATTTTACTAGTTCCATAAGTTTTTAATTAAAAGCCTTGAGTTAAAAATTGAGTAACGTTTTTAATAGCTCTAGAGATTTATGCCTTCTCTCACAGTATCTCAGTTGCTTGACTCTGGCTTCTTTTTCTAATGTACTGCTGGAGATGCAAAGTATTTACTATTTATTTATTTGACAGGGACACACATGCAGGAGAGGGACAGGGCGAGAGACAGAGAGGGAGGAGAGTCAGTGGCTATGTTAGGTCAAAGCCAGGCGCCTGGAACCCAATCCAGGTTTTTCATGTGGGTAGCAGAGCCATTACTGCTACCCTCCTCCCCTACAGGGTCTGTGTTAGCTAGAAGCTGGAGCCAGGAGCCAGAACTGGGAGCTCTCTGATATGGGATGTGGGCATTGAATTGCTTGGTAAAATGCCTGTCCTCTCTGTTTTAATCATACACTCACCTTCTGTAGCAAATTGTTCCAAGTGTTTTAAGGTAATTTCTTTGTATTTTGAAGTCTCTGCTAGTCGCTCATAAATGACAGTGTCCTGGAAAACAAACAGCAGGTATAATGCACTGAAGTAAGCATTCTGAGTTTCATGCAGTTGATGCTGGCAACATGACTAACAGCAAGTCAGTATAAAAGTTAACCACTTTGAGTATAGGTTTTAAAACCTAACACATCTCTTATTAATGTTTGAAAGGCAGAGTTACAGAATGAATACGAGAGCAGAGGAGGGAGAGAAAGAGGGGAAGAGGGGGAGAAACAGGGGAAGAGGGAGAAAGAGGGACAGGAGGGAAAGGGTAAGTGGAGGGGGAGAGAGAGAATAAGAAGCTTCCATTTGCTGGCTCACTCCTCAAATGCCCTCAAAAGCTTGGGCTGGACCAGGTTGAAGCCAAGGAATTTCATTCAGATCTCCCACGTGAATGCAGGGGCTCAAGAACTCAGGGGGATCTTCTGTTGTTTTTCCAGGCACGTTAGCAGGGAGCTGCATTAGAAATGGAGCAGTTGGGACTAGAACTGGCACCAATATAGGATGCTGGCCTTGCAGGTAGAGGCTTAACTTGCTGTGCCACAATGCTGGCCCTGACAAAATATCTGTAATAGTTCTGTTTCCTTAATGACACTTCAGAGACACAGAAATCCCCCTGCCTGTGAAAATGCTAGTCCACGGAGTCAACCAACCTTGGATAAGTGAGGCCTCTGATGCTTCTATGAGTCCTAAACACACACAAACTTCGTGTTTGGTCACTACTCTCCAAATCAAACAGCAGAACAAGTATTTATTAGCATTTACATAGCACTTACAATGGACCAGGTGTGTAAACTAATTAGGAGTGTGGCAGGACATGCATACATTACATACAGATAATCCTCATTTTACATGAGAGACTTGAGCATTTGTGCATTCTGTTGTCTTGGTGGGGTGGGGCTCTGGAATTAGTCCCCTGCAGATCTCAAGGGAAGCCCTAGGCTTGCATTTACACCTCTTTTCTTGCTATAGTATAAATCTCTATATAAATCTCTGTATAAATCTATAGTACCACAGTGTTCACAGTTTCACTGAATCAAAACCTTGCTTACCTCCCATATGCTGTAAGACTGTTCCCTATCCATGACTTTTTTTTACTTTATAAGTTTTTAAATTTTAGTTATGTATTTTTAAGTTTTCCCCATAGGAAGAGAACAGGGGTCATGTGTTTCAGATATAGTTCTGGGAAGATAACAATACTTCCCCTCTCCCTTCCTCAATCCCCACTCCTTCCTTTTTCTCTTTAAGTATTTTCAACAACATATTACCCATTTACTTCACAGTCACAGTCTTAGCTTACCACTAACCAGAATGTTTGATAAGTAGAATGACCACTGTTTCTCAGGAAACAGACAATGGCTATAAATAATAACCCAATCATAAGATGTGAGTTTCATTCTTACACATTATTTGCGTATTCTACCTTAACATCACATAGGGCGAGTAAAGGTCTCATGCAACATTCTGAATGTGCTACAGGGCACAGGACAAAAGTCAATGCTGGACTGGACCGAGTGCAGGAACCTGTGGTCTTGTTGTAGTACTTACCAGGGCCTATACATGCCAGTGTGCACAGGATATTCCTAGGGTGTGCTACAAGCTCACTGAGTCACAAAACCTTCAATAAGTTTGAGTGGTTTTTTTTTTAGTATTAAAATTTTATTTATTTACACTTGAAGGCCAGAGTCACACAGGGAGAAGCAGAGACAGAATCTTCTATCCACTGATCCATACCCTAAGTGACTGCAATGGCAGGAGCTGGGCCAGACCAAAGCCAGGAGCCAGGAATCTCCTCCAGGTCTCTGACAAGGATGTAGGGATTCAAGGACATGGGTCATCTTCTGCTTTCCTGGGACATAAGCAGGGAGCTGGATTGAAAGTGGAGCAGCAGGCACTTGAACCGACATCCAAATAGGATGCCATGGCACTGACCCCTAGAGTGTCTTTATGGAAACACTGCTCACATAAGAGGCCCATAATAGGGACAACTTGGGACTAACCTCAAGCTCAAACTGCCCGAAATGGCTGATTCTATGAGTGCCACTTCAGCTTTAAGACTCAATTTACTTTGTAAGATTCAACTGTTGGATTGTTTTTTAGGTCCCTTTGAGCTTGGGTTTCAGATAGCACTGATGTTTTTCCAGTTTTTTTGCACCTTTGTAACTTGCCTGCTACTTCTTTAGTTCCTCTGCAACTGTGGCTGAATGTTTAATATTTAGTCCAAAATGGTTTTATTAGATCAGGAAAAAATAAATCATTTACCTGTAATTACTTTCTCAGTGGTATAACCCATTTTGGGGTCTCTGGTCTCAGGGCTGAGGTTTGGGGGCTGACTAATGGTGCATGATTTAGAACCCTTGGGAGAAGCAGAACTTTGTGACCCCAGAACAGATGGAATAGTCCAGGTACCAATTACACATTCCTTTTCATTTTTCAGTGGCAGAATTGGAAGGGGGGCAAAGTAAAAGGAAATGACAATTTCCCCTCACGGCTCCGTTGTGAGAATGAAAGGAATAACTTAGGAATTCTAGCGTTTTCCAGAGGCTCATGAAATTGTCAACAAAATTAATACTGGCTACCTTAACATCAAGAAAAATCTGTCTTAAATTCAGAAAAGCAAAGGGGACAAGTAATACAGTTAGAAAGACTGAATTCTGTAGTGTATCCCCATGTCAGCAGAAGAAACTGATACTCAGAACTAAAGAAATGAGTTCTCCCCTTAGGTTCTGGGCAGGCAGAGGCAGAATGTGGCCTTCTGCAGCAAGCCAACTGCCCAGTTTACAAATGAAAAGTACATGCACATTAAAACTTTTCCACACAGAGTACCGCTTCTTTACTTAGGGGTTATAGCAAGTATTTGGCACATGCATAGGCTCAAAAAAGGTGTTTTCCCAGGACCCAACACTTGGGCATGCTTGAGGGGCAAACTTGGAGGAGCCTCTAGGGTCTTACACAGCGAAAATTCTTGGCAGAGTTTGTCATCTGGCATCTGGTGCCTTAGAACAGATGGCAAGGGCTGCTGCTATTGCAGTGGCACAGAATGAATTACACTCCTAAGAGCCCTGGGATGGCAGGAAGTTTCACCTGTGATTGGTAATCATTGTCTTTGGCGTGCTTTCATTTCAAAAAGCTGATGTCCTATTCTTGTTTCTACCTTAACCATCACATAGGCTAAGTTCAACACTACTCCTTTCTATCTGCCTTGGTACATGTTTGAAATTTTTGTTAGCAATAAGATAGCAGTGGGGGAAAAAACCCCAGCAATCAATACTGAAATTACCTAGGAAATCTTAGCAGCCATTAGCCAATTTCCATCAAGGAACTGGCTCTCTGCTGTCAGGTTAACCAGCAATGCAAGGCTGACCTGCTGTATGCAGCCTGGGCTCCCTGCAACCGGGACGTTAGCCAACACATCAGAAATACCCACATTTAAACAAACTACTGATAAAGACTTTTTTGTGTGTGTGTGTAGCTCAGAATGATCTGATCTTGCTCTCTAATGCAATAGTGACCTGCTAAAAATGCTTATCTTCAGATGTGGTTGGTTTGTATTTGTTACAGAATTTCATTTAGAACACACTTAATTTGAAATCTTTGGTACATTAAGTTTCCTATAATTATTAGTCAAGTTCCTTGTTTTTTTCTCTGGTATATAAGTCAGAGTAGGAGTCTCACTTTCCTGACTAAATTAAATTTTTACTCGTATAAATGTAACTCTTCCAAAGTTACTAGTTTTCATGGATATAAAGTGTATAGTGTGTACCTCTTTTTTCAAATTTAAAAATTAACAGGGGCCAGTACAACAGCTCAGTTTGATAATCCTCTATTTCTAAGTGTGGTATTCCCATATGGGAGCTAGTTCCTGTCCCAGCTACTCCACTTTCCATCCAGCTCCCTGCTTATGGGATCCTGCACCCACATGGGAGACCCAGAAGTTCCTGGTTCCTGGTTTTAGATTGACTCAGCTCAGGCCAAAAAACTGGTCATCTGGGGAGGAAACCAGTGGGTGGAAGTTCTTTCTGTCTTTCCTTCTCTCTGTAGATCTGCCTTTTCAATAAAAAATGATCTTTAAAAAATTAACAGAGCAATTAAACCTTATTATAAGAAATATGGAAAGATGAAGAAAAATAAGTCATCCATAAACAACACACACATACACATATGCACACACACAGGTCATTATTTCTTTTTGGGGTATTCAAGATGAACTCTTCAGCACTGTTTTTCAGTTCACTAATTCTATATCTACCTTATAAATTGCATATAAGACTTGTCCCATTTCTCGATTTAAAAAAATATTTAAAGGGACCAGTGCTTTGATACAGTAGGTTAAGTCTATACCTGTGGCACCAGCATCCTGTATTGGCTCAGGATTGAGACCTGGTTGCTCTATTCCTGATGTAACACCCTGTTAATATGCCTGGGAAGGCAGCAGAAGATTGCTCAAATGCTTGGACTCCTGGAAGATCTGGAAGAAACTCCTGACTCCTGGCTTCAGACTGGCCCAGCTATGGCCGTTGTTGCCATTTAGGGAATGAACTAGCTAGTGGAAAATTCTCTTTCTCTGTCTTTCCTTCTCTCTCTAATTCTACCTTTCAAATAAAATTCAAAATATACAATGCTTACCTTATAGGTGTTTCTATTTTCTATATTAACTTTTTATTAAAAATAGTTGAAATTTATACATTTATCATGTTTTTTAAGCTCTAAGGATCCTTTGTGACACTGATCTACACAGATGATACAATGTTAAGTCAATTCATGTTCCATTTGTTGATGTTGCTTACTATCTTGTTTTCTTGCTAGTTTTGAAGCTTTGCTTCTGCTATGACCCTGTTTGTATGCATGTCAATCTAGTGATTTTGTATTTGTACACTACCTAGAGAGGTGAACATGAGCTCTCCTCAGCCTTTTTTGATAACTGGACAAACTCACCACTGTCTTAGGCTGGCACCTATGGTTTATAAGAGCAAATACTATTTGTGCCCAAACTTCCATAGCAGCCAAGTTCCCTTACCCAGCTCAAGACTTTCATTCAATGAATGTCTCTCATTTTCCATATTGGTTCACAAAGATTTTTTATCTTGCTTTTGATCTTGGTTTGTCTTTCACATTTCTCTTTATACCATCTTGACTGCTGCCATGATTTTAGGTTGAAGGAGATACACCAAAGTTTGAACACATCATGCTACCTTAACTGGAAAATGCTACTGATGAATTTGCAATGGTCCTTACTGCTTAGTTTTTCTACTGTACTTGCTCCTTGTTGATCATTCACTCTACTGTAGAATCAAATTCTAATATTTTTTTCCTGGTTCTTCTGCTTCTCTTTTCATATGTTCTCTTCATTTGAGATCTTTTAACCCCTTGCTTTTAATTTCTAACTACACATGTGAAACAAAATGAAACACCCTCAACTACTTCTCCTGTGACATCGAGGCATCTATGCCTGATGGTGTAGGATGTATCTCCCAACTCTGTATTTTGGTAAGTGGCTTACTGCCACTCTTGTTTGGACTTTGTCAATGGCCTGAACTGACAGCTCTATCTTTGCAGCTCTTTTGAGTCATAAATTCCCTTCCAGATGACCAGGGGAAAAAGAAAATTCTTGAGTGTGAAAAACAAAAATAAATGTGATTCAACTCACATCTAAAATTACAGCTACTCCCTGGCAAACTACAGGTAGTTTCCAAATGTTTCTTGCTATTTAACATATTTGTATTTTTTTGTTTGTTTGTTTTTCACTATTTCACCACATTTTATTATAGCCAAGTTGGGAGTGAGAGGAAACAAAACAATAAGTTAATAAAGGCAATCTATCCTGGTAGCTATTAAAAAATAAGTTCAACTTTCTTCTTATTCAATGCTTTTTTCCCCCAAAGTTTCCAGTCAGAAGACTATTCAAAACTGAAAATAGAAGTAAATGTATTAGTGTTGTAAACTGAACATGTACCAACCACTTCTAATGGGAGGTCATATGGGACCGATGCAGTAGCTTAGCGGCTAAAGTCCTCGCCTTGCATGCGCCAGGATCCCATATGGGTGCCGGTTCTGATCCCAGTGGGCCCACTTCCCATCCAGCTCCTTGTTTGTGGCCTGGGAAAGCATTTGAGTATGGCCCAAAGTCTTGGGACTCTGTACCCATGTGGGAGACCAGGAAGAAGCTCTAGGCTCCTGGCTTTGGATCAGTTCAGCTCCAGCTATTGTGGCCACTTGGGGAGTGAGTCAGTGGGTGGAAGATCTTCCTTTTTGTCTCTACTCTCTGTATATCTGACTTTCCAATAATAACAATAATAATAATAATAATAACAATAATAATAAGATTCGGGAAAGTACAATTCAGAAGGAAAACACTGACCATTGACCTCAGTGACTTTCATTCTTCTATTAGTGTAAACAATTTTAACTAGGAATGGTCAGCTGAAATGACACATTTCTTTTTCCGTTAATATAACATGCCAATCTGTCAAAGCTAACCAATAGTCAGAAATATTGTTATAATTAAAACAATGCAAGATAAATGTTAATCAACAGAGAAGAAATTATAGTAGTTAATGTGATCCAAATTCCTTCCACCCCCCATTCTATGGTCTTTTAAAAATGAGATTAAAATCAGAACAGATTTTAAATTATGCAACTGTAAGATAACTTTCTATATTGTACTGTTTTCTAACATAGCTTATATAACATAAATCTGAAATATTTCATATACAAAATTGAATCATAAACGTAAATTAGGCCAAACATTTTCAAAGCACAAAATTTACCCACATAAGGAACTCCACGTTTCGCCAGAAAAGGCTGAACACTATTACTATAAAACACCAACAGAAGTGGGTGTCAGCAACTGCAGGTTAAACATCTGTGTTACATTTTCACAGCAGACTGCCTAACACAGACATGGTAAACCAGTATAAATCAAAACTTTAAAAGACAAAAGTAAAAACTTACAGCTCCTTTGCAGTAAAGTCGTAACTTCCCGGACGGAGTGCGAACAATCACTGACATTCTTTTTCTGGCGCTGAAGGAAAGGTTTTCCAAAAAATGTTATCACACAGAGGATATGCATACATACACTTATCACGTCTCACATACATTAGTACTAACAGTGAAGAAATAGGCCAGATTATGAGCCCTATCCTTTTACATAAAGACCATTCCCTTGCAGTATGGTGGGATATCTGAAAAATTACACTGTGTTCTCTAAGGCACAGAGGTACCACCAACTGTCCTGGAGGAGTCATTTGCAAAATAGCTCCCTAAAAATCTGCAAGAGTGAATACCCAACAGACTGAATTCCTAGTTTAGCATTCTGAGATTTGAGCCCTGTTTAAGCCAGTATCTTAAAATAAATCAAATACTACAGTTTTTATAAAAAGCTGAATGCCTTTCAATTTTAAATCCATACCCAAATACATTGCCAGTGTTTAAAAACAACTTATTGGGACTGATGTTGTGGCACATTCCAGCTCCCTGGTAATGCTTTTGAGAAAGCAGAAGATGGCCCAAGTGTCTGGGTCCCTACCATCCACATGAGAGAGCCTGATGGAGTTCTAGGCCCCTGACTTCAGCCTGGTGCAGCCCCATCTTTCTTGGTCATTTGAGGAGTAAACTAGCATATGGAAGTTTTATTCTCTTCTCTCTGTGTCTTTCAGCCTTTGAAGTAAATAAAACCATTAAAAACATACTTAGGCATTTACAATTATTCTTTATAATGATTAATAGCTAGCCACTGGCATCAGCAGAGCTCACAACCGTGGACAAACAGCCCACCAGACAGGACTCAGGTCTGAGTGCATGAACGTTCTCTGCAGCATTGAATGCAGGCGTCTGCATCTCTGCTGCTGAAAGATGAATTCAAGCACCAGTGGCAGTTGTGCTAACGTAAAGGTCAGAAGTTTCTTAGAGAAGTATTTAGAAATATTTAAGTTTCATATTTCTGCATTTATAACCACTAGGATACTACTATCTCATGCTCCATTCCTGTTCTTTAACACTTTTTTCCTCATTAAATTCTTCACCGACTCGTAGATCAGACAGTAGCATCATTCTCTTCAAGAAGGTTCTTGACACATTATTCAGTAGCATGTTATCTAACTTCATGGTGTTGTAAATTTCTAACTTTCTTCCTGTTGTTGATTTTGTTTTGTGGCTTTTCACCTGGGGGATTTATAGTGACTGTGTAGTGGAGACTGTCATGTCCAGATGTGAGGATACAATGCAGTGTGCATCTCTACTTCCGGATCGAGGGTGGATTCCCAATGAAACTGTTGGATGACAATGGGATGCTGGACTGTCTGCCATTGTCCATGCCCACAATGATGGATTTATGATTGTTTATGAGAAACTATACTATTGTAATGATATGGGGGAACTCAGTGGGGGAGGGATTTATGGGAGGTGGTAGGGGAAATCCCAGGGACTAAAGAACTGTATAATAAAATAATAAAAAATGTAAAAAAAAAAAGAAAAAAGAACAAAATTGGGGATTGAGACATAAAAAAAGAATATACTTATTGATACTTATTGAATCTGCTTTGTAATGATACCTTTTTTTTTTTTTTTTTAACCACAACCCTTCTAGATTCAGGCCTCTCTTAATTCAGTTTTGATAACATTATCCCAAACTCATCCAGTTCTCTTTTTTTTCTCCTGGTGAGATCCCCAAATTCTAGCATCCTCATCTTTATTTATTTATTTATTTATTATTCTTATTATTTTGTTGTTTAAGAAAAAGTCCTTATTTGTATTTTTCTGAAAGAGAGAGAGAGAGGGGTAGAGAGATCTTCCATTTGTGATTTCACTCCCCAACTGGCTTCCACAGGTGAGACGGGGCCAGGCAAAAGCCAGGTGTCTCCTATGAAGGGCAAGAACCCAGGTCATTGAGTCATCACCTGCTGCCTCCCAGAGCACACAGCAGGAAATTGGAATTAGTGCTACATCAACCTAAGTAAACAATTACTAATTTTGGTGCAAAAAGAAAGAGACGGGGGATGTGCTCTAATTCAGCATGTAGCTTCCTACCTATTCTCTTTAAAGACTTTCAGAGCATAGCAGAAAACAGTGTTTGCCTAATAAATTGGACACACCCCATTATTTCTTGTTATTAATCATTGGTATGCAGGCATTCTCAATCAAGATGACAACCAAAGTTAGATTAGAAAGGAAATGACTCTTCCATGCAGTGCACATGCATGCCTTATAAAGAGAGTTCTAGAAAAAAGATGCACATTCCAGTCCCTGAAGAATAGCACTACTTCCTAGAGAATGGTGATACAGTATTTGTTTATATAAAGATTTATTTGAAAGGTAGAGTAGTAGAGACAGAAGGAGAGAGAGAGAGAGAGAGAGAGAGAGAGAGAGAGAGAGAGAGAGAGAGAGAGAGAACGAGCCAGCGAGCTTTGATTTGCTGGTTCACTTCCCAAATGGTCCTAACAGCTAGGGCTGAGGCAGGCTGAATCCAGGAGTCAGGGACTTAATCCAGGCTTCTCATGTGAGTGTAAGGACCCAAGCACTTGGCCATCTTTTGTTGCTTTCTTAAAGACAACTAGATACAACACGTATGTAATGAGAATGAGGGCTTCCTGATCCATTTCTATTCCATATAAATCTGGATGTCTCTAACTCTGCTCTCAGTTCATTAGCCATAGACTCCTCCTCCTATGGCTAGTCTTTTGAATCAGCTGTATTCCAGGAAGATTTTTGAACTTTCATGAGAAGCCTACACTGCAACATTCGGTTGAAAGCTGTCATGACTATATACATCCAGTGCAGTTAAAAAAATAAAGGACTGGTCATTTTAACATTTTAAAAATAAGTTTAATTACAAACACAACACACTTTCTTGTTATTTCAATGGCAAAAATAAAAATAGGTACACATTTATTTTATTTATACAAATCACAGAGCAGGTATTTTACCTGGTGAACTCCAAGACATTGAGTAATTCATATCTTTCTTCCTGTCCCAGCTGTGAAGAAATGGAATATATCAGTAGATACAGTTGGAAATATCTTGGGCTTCTTGGACATAAACACTGACCACAAAGTATTATTAGAAAGAAAAGACAACGTGAACAGATTTTTCTTTCTGAAATATGGAAGAAACTTACTAACTTTCAGGTTAAGATACACAGAATGTAAAGCCCAGAAGAGTAGAAAGCCAAAAGGAAATCCAAGTACCAGGGAAGCAGACTTTAGAGCAAAACCATCCCAGACGGGAGAATGGAAAGCTTCTAAGGAAAAACCATGATTGGCCAGTTTATCTGGAAGAGCTGTGTTGGGAGGAGAGTACTAGGAAGTGTGTGAAACAGTTGGTAATAGAAAGAAAATAAAGCTATTAAGACAGTTGAGGTATTTATCTTAAAGAAATAAAGTAGAAAATTTATTTTTGGGAGTAATTCTGTGTCAGAAAACACAATATTTAAAAATTATATAATTACTGTCAATAACAATGCTGACCCATGAATACTGGCAAAGATGGAATAGAATAATTAAACAATGATTCTTAAGATAATTCACATATGTAACACAAAGATTTCAAGGTATAGTTCAATAAAAATTGCAGTCAGAAGGTACCTTTGTCAAAAGGTATAGTATGTGCAGCCACCAACCCAATCAGGATATGTGGTGCATCACCCCTGCTCTAGCAACATCCTGGTGCTCTTTGCCAATCAATCCCCTGCCCTGAGGCAACCACTGCTGTGAATTCTATCACCACTTACACTTCTCAGGGAGCACATACGTGAAACAAAATAGAACTTTACACTTCTGTTGGATAAGTACAACATAACTTCTGGGTCAGGTGTAAGTTCATTTTCATTAAAAATGCTAAAACCTTTTCCAAATGGCTTGTACACTTCACTACTAGAAATGCATGACTATTTCTCTTGTTCTATATGCTCATTAATACTTGGTACTGACAGCCTTCTTGGTGCATATGTGCAGAAGGATCTCTGAGTTTTAATCTGCATATCCTGATTGACTAATAATATTTTTATGTTGCTGATCATTCATTCACATGCCTTCCTTTACTCATTTAAAACTGAACTCTAGTTCAAGCATCTGTGCTCATGGAAACCATGGCATGGATCATGCCCAGTTCTGAGGTGACTTTCCTGCGAAAGCCACTTGATACAGGATTCATGTGATACTGAATCCATTAAGGATTCAAGCTCTTGAAAGAATGATAATTGGATATGTTTTGAAAGATAGGGCTTGTGTCAATGACTAGAGAAATATCCAAAAGGATAGAAAATGGTTGCTTCTGGGATGAGGGCTTCTATTTCAATATAAGCCTTGAGATTTATTTTTCAAGTTAGGCATATGTATAATGTTGGTTAAACAGAAAAGTAAAACAAAAATAACTTACTGAATCAATAATCACTGAGTCGGGTGTTCTTCCAGTGAAAACAAAATTCAATTGTTTGGCTGCTCTGACCAAGGCTCCCTCATCTATTTTAGGAAAAAAGTGAAAGCAAATATATAATTAGAAAAGATTATTCCAAATACAAGAGAAGTACATTAATCTAATATAATTTTAATTAAGTTTTTTATTCTAACTTGTTACTGAAACCCAATTCCCTTTAAATTACAAAAGAATAAGAAATAATCTTAAATGTATGAGACCTATATAGAACTCAAAATGATATTAAGTCATACTGTGAACATTAAGTCTTAATGCTAGTCATGCCTTCCTAAATGGATAATACAAATGTATTTAGCTCACTATATTCATAATATTAACTTTCTGAAATTCCTTAAACTTTAACCTTTTCCACCTAAAAAGCTGAATACAGATAACTAATGGGCCAATTAAACAACCAATTTAAATGGACACTTCATTCATACTCATGGAATTACATCAACTTTTCTTTGTGAGGGTGGGTATAAAACAAGGAAACATTCACACAGTTTCTAGTGTAGCCATATGAGTGAGACAGAACATTTTCTAGGCTCTTTAGCAATTTAATACATTCTCTAAGTTGCAGGTACTAGTTTAGAATGTGGTTTAAAAGCACTCACAAATTACTAACAAATTTCTCCAAAGTACATTCTTTCTGTCCTAAAATTTTATAGTGATCAAATTGATATCTACCAAACTTCACAGTAAAAAGATCTGAAACTAATCTTAAATATTAACTGTTGATAAAAGTACTAACAAATATTTTATGGACTTCTTTTTAAATGTGTGAAACTTTTCTCACTCAACTAAGCAAAAAGCTGCTTATCACTTTTAAAAGAGAAGCAAAATTGAAATTCTAAAGCCACATCTAAAGGTGCCTCAAAAGTTCATGGCAAATAGAACAAAAAGATGAGTCTGTTCTCTTGTAGAAAACACCCTGGAAATGCATACATAAGTTGTTTTATAATACACATTTGCATGAACTGTTTGAAGATCCCATATGCACTCTGTAATTTTAGGTGACCAGCTCTTTTCCATCCGCTTGTATGCAAACACATTTTATGACTAATAGCTTACTATTATTTATTCATAAAGAAGGAAAATATTATGTTGAAATCAAATAAATTATTCATAGAGAAAGATAGTTGAATAAAGTAGCACATTTTTCCATTTACATGAATTTTATTAAAATTCCTATATAACTTATGTTCCATACTAAAAATTACATATACAAATTCACATATTTAAACATATATATTTTAAATTTGAAAGCCAACTTTCCCTAGTAAATGATTTTTTGAGGTCTAAAAGTCACACTCAATTTAGCTATTTTCCTTCTTCCAATTAAACTGATTTCTTTTCTAGGCAATCCTGAATGTTGTAACAAGCTTCGCTACAGACATATTTTAGCAATTGCTTTCTTTGTACCTGGAGATGCTGCTTGATAAATAATCTTGTCACCCTCGCGTTCAGGTACTGCCGTGTGACAGACTGCCATCATTGTGAGAAATTCACAGATGATAGGAGCGGTTGGCTAAGAAATATACATGCAGGTTAGCCTGTTAGTGTAACTAATTTTACATCCATAACAATATGATTTCATGCGAATCTTACTAAGACACTGGGGTGTAGGAGTGTTAGCAACCCAGAGCAAAAATTACTCAGGGATAAATCATACTTCCACTCAAATTATTCCTTTGTACACTTTCCCATTCACTTTTTAAAAATCTATACAATCATGAACTCATGCTGGGCAAGTAAAAAACGACTTTCTAACAGTAGATTTTGGTAATTATTCAAAGTAATGAAAGTCAACAATTCGGTAAACATGGATGACAACTGAGAACCACAGTGATTGGTTTTCATTCAAGATGGAAAAGCTAATGGTCTTCTGTTGCTTACATGATTACTTTGGAGATTTTCCAGCAATGATGAGTCACTAAATGTTTTTTCATCTCCAGACTGTGAGCTCTGCCTAGGGGTGGAAAAGGAGACAACACTGATTCACTTACACACAAGTCTGCAGATCTATGTGCAATTTGATTTTAAAACAGACTGCAATATGGTAAATGTTTAGTAAAGGAAGCAATTTAGTCTGCATTTCTAAATATATCACAGATTTCAAAATTGTATCATAAAATATATTCAAGCATTTATGTGACATTTATAATGCAATAGGAAATACCACTTATTACATATAATATTTTATAGTCAATTATTATACTATAGCTACATGAAATTCCAAAAACAATCAAAATATTTGAGAAGATTGTTAATACAGGGATTTGAGTTTATTTTAATATAACATCTTCAGTTTTTAAGTATTATAAAATGTGTTGATTGCTTCTAGTTCTACTTTATATGAAAAATCTCTGTAGTGATTAATACATATTTATCATATGAAATACAAAAAATGAATAATAAACTGTTTGCTTATCAACATCTACCATTATCAAAGTCTAAGCAAATATTCTGTTTTGAGTGCTCAAGGACAACAAACGATTAAAAAAAAGCAGGATGTTTTGGGGTTATAACTGTTAGAGAAGCAGGTGTATTATGTAGTTCACCAAAAACAAAAGGAATTATAAGTATGTTGATAGTCTACTATTAATCTCATGGTAATACCATTTATTACCAAAACAATGATTTATAAAGGAAAAACAAGGAACATTTATATTGGAAATAGCAAAACAAAGGAATATAGTTTGCAATGTACGGAGGACATATATCTGTGTTTCTGTGCACAGAAGTTCAAAATTCACCAAAAAATAATGAGTGCAATATCAACTAAAGATCATCCAAAATGCTCTTAATTTTAATTTTTATAGGTTACAAAAAATCTTCCTAATATCAATGTGTCAAATATCAAGACCTCCAGATTTTAAAGTCAGAAGCCAGAGAAGAATGAATGAAAACAGAATTTGAAATAGAACATATAAATATCATCAATATATTTCTCCCATAAACCAAAGTTCCTTATTTGCATATGTGGTATATTACTTCACAAAATTACACTAAAATACAGATCTTTCAACACGTAACAATTTGGTGCATTCCCACTAAGCAGAATGAACACAGTATCATCATTATTCCTACTGCTGTAGTTTCAAAGATGGAGGGGAAAAAGCCAAAGAACTTTTAAATGACTTATTAATTGGTAGACAGAATAAAAAAATTCTTAAATTATTATCAACTATTAAAAGCAATTTGTTACTTTGGATTTTATAGAGTTTACTAGTGTTAAAACATATTAATTGGGGTCAGCATTTGGTGTAGATGACTGTGTTGATGCCTGCAATGGCATCCCATGTGAGTGCTGGTGCAAGTCCAGGCTGCTCCAGCTCTACTCAAGCTCCCAGTTAATGTGACTGAGAAAGCAACAGATGATGGTCACAGCAGTTGGGCCCCTGCCATCTATGTAGGAAATCGAAATTGAGTTTTGGGCCCCTGGTTTCAGCCTGGTACAGTCCTATTTTTGCCCTTTAGGGAGTGAATAAATAGACGGAAGCTCTCTCTCTCTGAAGCTTTATTCAAATGAATAAAATGTTAGAGTATTCATGAATGGTTCATAGACACATTATTTTACTTATGAGACAAATTAATGTCATGAAAATCCACAGTAACATCGTGATCCACAGCGCAGGACAATGAACATTCATATACATTATCCACATTTATGCACCACACACATAAAGACAAAGGCAGTATAATGCAAAGCACAGCTTTTCCCTAGTTTTTCACTCGTTTTTGTTTTGTTTACAAAAGGCATCACTTTAATGTGACAGCTGGATTTGTTTTTGCTGGCAGCTGTCTGCAGGGCTGCTGCCAAAATGGGCTTGTGCTGGGACAGGTGTGTACAGTGTCCTAGGCAGACCAGCAGGCCCTGTGGGCTTCCTCCATCTCCAAATTCACCCCAAAGTCTGTATTCAGTAACCACACAGAGTGCCTCCTTCTGAGGTACCCCTAACCCCTGAAAGACAAAGGATGGGATGAGGTCAGGTTCTTGGGTGGGAGTCTGGATGCAGGTTGTGTTTGTAGCAGGTGCCAGGAGTGCCTGCCTTGAGAAGGAGTGACTCCAGCTCTGATTTGGACCAGCAGGGGCTGATTTTGTGTTGTCTTAGAAGTGGATCTTGTCTGGCACCTCAAGGATGCTGCTCTTGCTCCTGCCACACCTTCTCCCTCCCTTGCATGCTGTCAGCCTGAGCTCTCCAGCCCTCCCTACTGCTCCTGGCATTCCTCCCAGGTAGCAGGGAAAAACTGTTTTGTCTTCTTCAGGGAATTCCACCTGCTGGGGCTGGTGAGAAGCCTTCAGTGTGGTGTGGAACTTGTGCTGCCAGGTTTGCTTTCCTGTGTTCACTTCACTTTTTACTGGTGTCAGGCTAACTTCTATGAGTCAGAAGCTGCTGAATTGTAAAGCACATCTCCCCAAGTCTGTCTTTAGCTGCTCCAAACAAAATAAATTAACGGGGACCATGAGGCAAAGGGAATTTTAGTTCTGAGAGACAAATGCAGGCACAGGCCATGTCCTCTGGCTGCAATCACAGTCATGTGATTCACGAGGCCTTGACCAAGCATGGGCTATGCACATACTCTAAAATCTGAAGGTGCCCAGGTTTTTCTTTTTTGCAGAAATATAATGTTCTGACCACTCATCTTTTCCTTTGCAGTTAAAAAAAAATTTGAAAGCTAGCTTGGAGAGAGAGAAGGAGAAAGATAAAGGAAGGAGAGAGAGAGAGAGAGGAAAACAAGTTCCCCCGTTTGTTTGTCCACTCCCCCAGTATGAGTAGTAGTTTGGGTTGACATTGGGTGCTGGGAATTCAATCTAGGTTTTCCACCTAAGTGCCAGGATCCCAGTTCCTTGAGACATCACTGCTGTTTCCCAGGATCTGGATTTGCAGATGACCAGAATCAGGAGCCAAAAGCAGAAATCAAACGCAGGTATTATCTTAGTGGATACAGGCCATCTTAAACACTAGGCCAAGGCCACTCCTGTAATGTTTTAAAGAATATCATCATCAGGACACTAGAGAAGAGGCACTCTCTCAGACACTGAAACTAATGAAACCCACCCTATTCCAGCCCAGCCTCTTCTGTTTTAGAGGCCAGGTAAACACATGCTCCATGCAATGCTTCCCAAAGGACTTTGGTTTAAAAGAGTTACGGGAACAACACCTGCCTAGGAGCCACCTGCTGCAGGCAGAGCAGGCTGCTGAACACCTACTCGGGCTCAGAGCCCACTCCAATTCAACTCCCTGCTGTTGGTTTGAGAAAAGCAACAGAAGATGGCCCAAGCATCTGATTCCTGCACTCATGTGGAAAAACCAGAAGAAGCTCCTGGCTTCTGGTTTCGGCCTGGTCCAGCCCTGGCCACTGTAGCCCTCTGGGGGGTGAAACAGCTGATAGAAGATCTCCTTTCAGCTTTCTCCTTCTCTTGTTGAAGCTCTTTCAAATTAAAGTTAAAAAAGTAAGAAAATAAGATCAGAATATAGTACTTTCTATTGAAATTGTGGTACTAAAGTCCACAGTGCATTTTATGGTAATCTTCTGGAGAATCACACTCATTAGTACAGATAACAGAAAGAATATGGTAAAAAAAAAAAAGCCTAGAAAAATGTCATTGAAAATATGTAGTTTTGGAAAATAAGCATATCTTACAACTACAAGGAATACTAAGAATAAACAGATTTGTTTTTCTCTAACCCCCAAAACTATTATCAATTTAGTAGATGGTAGATTTTTAATACTTAGCAATTCAACTGTGATTGAATTGAGGCAATAAGTTAGCTGTTGATCCTTGGTACCAGTTTGGAAGTAGTACTGTTTATATGTTTAAAATGAAAAGTCATCATCCAATTATCTTTAATGTCAACAGAATATGCTTAAAAGCGTTGATGCCTAGATTTGCCTTCACACTAGGCTAAATGTAAATGTGTAAACCTTTTAAAATAAACAAATAGTAATCTACATATATTTAAGGGCTAAACACTGTGAAGGTTTTTTTTTTTACTTGGTATTTTTGTCATGATAGTGACTGGCTTGAATAGTAAAATAAATGTAATCTGAATTTGTATGTGGGAATTAACAGACTATACATTGAACACAGCCAGACTGTGCTGTACGCTCAGATTTTTGATTTATGGAGTCATCTGCCTCTATTCTTGAAGCCTAGCAGAAGGTAGACACAGCCAGAAGCCCAGGGCATAGAATGCATCCAGGTTCACACTTGATCTTGGTTTCACAGGCAACAGGACACCAGGGATTGAGGTTGGACAAGTGGCACATTTATGAATTTGTGAAGCTATGCACGACTGTGCTAGCTTTCCTTAGATAAGTCATACTTCACTTACGTTTCCTGCTTTTGGTATGCAACACAAGGAATTTACTGAACTACATTCCAGGCTGAGAATATCAAATGCAATGGAAAAAAATAACTGCAAAATTTCAAATATATCTGTGCCCTAAAAACAGATTCTCTTTGAAGTTCTTGAAAGTCTGGTGTCTAAATTAGTATGGAACAAGCACATGTTTCATAACTGGATATATCAGTGTTTTTAACTCTGGCTCCATATTATCTGGTTGTAGTCTTTGGGGGAAAATTATTTATTAGTTTCTTTGTCTAAATTTTATTAAATTTTAATTGGCAAACATGTCATAAAGATTGAATGCCATCGGAGGTGATATGCACTTTCAAATTACTGACCAGATCTATTTAAATATTTTAAAAACAGAACTCACTTAACCTTTAAAAGATTCAGATGATGTAGCTAACATTATTCATATTTCTCCAGTTGAGACCACAAAGGGAGCAAATTTGTTCAAGGGTACCAGCAGGACAAAGATAAAAATTTTGGTGTTCAGAATTTAAAATCCATTCTGTGTAACACAGGGTGCCACTTGACTCAGAACACAAAACCTTTACTCCTTTATCTTCACAAGACTATGGGTAATGACTTTATAGGTGAAGAATCCTAGCATACGTTTAAAAATAAAGTTCACTTTATCATAAAGTTAGCAAAGACTTTTCTCATGTTTGTTTTCAAAAATCATTACTAAGTTTATATGAAGATGCAAGTAAAATATCAATGAAAAAGACGGCATTTTTATTTGCAATTATTTTGTTTAGAATACAGTATCATTGGGCTGGTACTATGGTATAACAGGTTAAACTGCCACCTGCAGGCCCGGGAATCCTATATGGGCACTGGCTCAAGTCCTGACTGCTCTGTTGCCATCCAACTTCCTGCTAATGTGTCCAAGAATGAAGCAGATGATGGCTCAAGTCTCTGGGCCCCTCCTTTCAAGTGGGAGACCTGGATGAAACGCGCAGCTTTGGAGTGACTCATCCCTGGCTGTCACAGCCATTTGGGAAGTGAACCAGAGTATAGAAGATCTCTTTTTGCCTCTTCCTTTCTCCCTGTACTTGGGCCTTTCAAATAAACAAATATATTAATCTCTGAAAAGAGAGAATATTAGATCATATTTTTCACAGTGTTTGATAAAACCAATTTACTAAAATAGGTAAGATAATATCTCTTTTCAACAGTCATATGTCATGCAATAACTTATTGAAAGAATACTTCAAGTAATTTGAGTGAACAAATAATTTTAAATAATATTTCCACCTTACTGTAAAAAATATATGTAGTGGAGATGATTTTCTTCTCTTGGGAAGAACTGGGATACTTTTTCTGGAGAAATCCAGTATCAAGTCTACACTGGTGAACAGTGTTTGCAGTTCATAGAATTGTGTTAATATTATAGAAAAGCAACAGCAAGTACAGGTACACATGGCCCCCTACTTACAATGATTCAATACAAGGAATGTAACTCAGTGGTCAAACAGCATCTGCAATCAGCATTTTCACTACATTCTCATGGAATTAAATAAAAGTGAATATGTGCAACATTATATTCGAATTACCTGCCAGCCATCAATAATCTGGTGCATTAAAAAACACTAAGATCTATTTAGTTGTGTGTGGGTGTCAAACACATGATACTCCAAGCAATGAGCCTGTGGTGACTCATGAGTTATCATATGAACCGAACAGCTGCTTCTGTCAACTAACCCTCAGTATGAGGTTTCCTAGATGTCTTTAGAAAACCTCTTCACTCAGGTTGGAGAATATTAAAGCATGTTATTGGACTTCAATGTATATCAGAAATATAACAACATCACAAAACACATCAAAAATCAAAACACAGCCGCCTTTGAAGCCTCAATATTTTTCTAAAGTCGTTAACATTTCAAGAACCCATTTTCTAAATTTCCATTTGCCACCAAATCCTGAAAAATTACAGAAAAATCAAGCCAACATTATTCAGCTCTAGCTAAAAATGGAAGTTCACAGAAGAGGAGATATTAAATATAACAAAATTCACAAAATATAAAAATCAATCCTGTCTTAACGAATTTAATCATATTGCCCTGAGTTCCAGTTCTTGGCAGTACAGTCTCTTATTTGTCCCAGACATTTCATTAATAAGTCATTTCATTAATAAGACTTTTACAATAATCAAAACAAGTATAAACGGAAACTTCTGTTGCTTGTCTGTCAATGCATCTTTCCGCAGCTCTGCAGGGTGCATAAGTTGTGGCAGCAGGTGGCAGTGCTGAGCTAAAAACCCATAAAGCGACAGGCCGTGTCACTGAAATCCTAGGTCATCCACAGCCTAGAGAGGCTGCAGATCATTACAGATTTTACTAAAATAAACTATAGGAAACTCTGGTGAGCTTAACCTTTTCAATCCATGATTATGAGATGTGCCTAAAGGTTACTCAATAGAAACTCAAGGACATTCAATGCATTTCAAAAAAATACTTAATTTACAGGCAACGTGGTCAGCAGTGCTCTTTCAGAAGCAGTGAAATGTGTCTAATAAAGCAATAGGATATAAACTTTCAAAAGAGATTAGTGAGACAGAAGGATGCATGCAGCTTACCATTCATCAGGGGAGCAGCCATAATCCTCTGGTTCGGGGACATGGCTTCCGAGAGAGCGGGTGGGGCACAGAAAGAGAGTGAATAATCACGGGAGGGCAGGAGATGCAAAGGAGGGAGGGGCTGAGAGCTGGAACCTCCACAAAGTTAAGAGAATGAACTTTTAGCTGAATCTGAAAGAATGGCAGTTAGTGCAGTTAGTAGTACATGCCGCATGGGAGCTAAAGAGCCTTACAAAAGTATCCTGGACCTAGACAGTCAACTTGCCTTTTTACCACAAAATTTATTGATTTTTATGCTCAGAATTTAGGATCTAGTAAGAAAAAGACAAACTTAGCAATTAAAAAACATGCAAAGGTCAATGGAAAATTAATCATCCAATCACATATTTTGGCAGAAGAACATTCTAATTCAACAAACATGGCTTATAAACAGCTTATAAACATGGCTTATAAACGTCTTTTAACAAGTGCATTAAAGTAAAAGTTAACTGCCTTTCTGCAGGAAAATGAAGCCACATTAAGAAAGATAAGATATTAAAAAATATTTATCCAAGTCACAATTATTTTTTATCTCAGAAAGCATGTTCATCAATACATTCTTTAATTTCACTCATCAGCTCACTTCAGTAGAGGGAAACACTGACGGATGTACTCTTTACAAACAGTTTTTTAGTAGGAAGAGGCCTGTAATACATGACAGAGTAAATTTCTTGTTTCCTATTTCTTTGATTATGTATGACCACTCAATATTGTTTAAAAATGCAGAGTTCAGTATAGTTATAAAGTCACTGTTCTTTCTAACAATATACAGTAAGCTTCACTGAAAACCTGTGAGCTTTTTACTCCCTTAATCTCCATCACACTTTGCCCTTTTATCAGTTTGGTCATGACATAGATCTCATAACCCTAGTGACAAAATATCAAAATGCCTCTAACGCAGTATCCACTGCATCACTCCCATCGCAAGGGAAGCAGTCCCTTTTTTTCTCATCATTCTCTTCCCTACCACAGAAAGGGCTTTGGTATATGCTTTAGGGGAAGAGTTAACGAACTCTGTGCTAGGCTGGACTCCCAAAAAGGAGTTGGCTGCAGCAAAACTGAAAAATGGCCACACCTCAGCACAGAATGCCATCGCTCTGATTAGCCTCCAGTGTGGGACCCCTACCCGGGAGCAATGCCAGGGGAGGGTTTAGAGGCACACAGCAGCAGCCACTGTGCCCAGGTTCTACCAAGTTGTATTGCTGTGATATGCTGGCTCCTGACTAATATTATGGACGAGAACGGTGCTTCCCAACTCACACAGCTTTTAAGTTCCACAATTCCAGGGTCAGAATGTCTCTCCCCAAGTCTGCTGCAGTCCTGGCAGCACGCTGAGTGGTATCCAGAACGTCATGTGCAGCGGTGACTGGCACAACCTGCTCCCAGTCTTGTTCCTGAGTTTCCCAGTGATTATGCTTCAACATCTCTGGTGTCTGCTAAGTGGTCGGCTGCCCTAGGGCATCTTTAGTGCTGTCCTACTGGCTGGGTACATTCAGCACTTCATCAAACCTTCTTACAACTTAACTGAAGAAACATTTTCTTAGAGAACATTCCTTGACCTCCCTGAATAGATCAAATCTCCCATCAGAAACAGACTGTTGGACTCTGTTGAGATTTCAAATCTGCACATTACAATTACTTAATCAGCACCCACTGACCCCTATTTTGACTATAAACATTAGAGAACAGAAATTGTGTGAACTTTTGTTGATTACTGTATCTCTAACACAGAATATCACCCACCTAGAAGATTGATGAACATTTATTACTATGGATAAATCAATAGGTGGCCTCTATCAGCATTTACCATCAATCATGGTGAACATTCATTATAAATGTACATGCTATATTCTTAGACCATGAGGCGAAGTGTTGCAATAATTGTGAGGTTTCTCATGGTGAATCACTTCGCAGGGTTAGGGAAGTAGCTGGTACTTTTTGCAAACATCTTGCTACACTGTCAGTAAATCCATTCATGTACCATGTCCACAGATAAGCAATACATTGCTTCTTTTAAGCAATACATTGCTCACACATATGTAGTATGCTTATAAAGATTTTTTTTAAGTCTAAAAAACAGTTATGCCCCATTCAGTTCAATCTATCGGTAACGTCTTACTTGTTAAAAAAGATGGCTTCTAGGGTTGTATCTCAGGGTCTTTACTAAAATTCAAACTATCAAACACAAAAGCATCTTACAGGTTTCTGGTATGCAAGCATTGTGATACACTTGATTTATTCTTACAGGATATGATTTACTAAGATAAGATTTTGATAGTAAATGCTTGATAATGTTTCTAATTTGTAACAAGTTGCTACTATCTTATAGCGAAAGCTAATGAAACAGTTTTATAAATTCAAATACAGTGGACATAAAACACAAAGGTGATCACTACAAATCAGCATCATTGGCAACTAGGTAAAAATCTTTGTGTTTGCCCAACATGAGTTGAAAAAGGCAATCCTTAGGACAGAAATGAAGTGAGAGGAAACTCACTGAAGCATTATGTTGAATGTTAAATACTTTCTCCTTACAAAAATATGGGACACACAGAACTAGCCAAAGGTTGCAATATCAGGAACCTTGTTCTTCTAGCTGACAACATGCAAGAGCAATCACCTTTGGCTCTGCAGGGGTTGACTGGGGTTTATCTTGTTTCTCAGAAACAGCGCTGAAGCAGCAGCTCTGACGGCACTTACTGTTGCTATATGGACATGCGTGCCACCTACTGTGTCTTGTGATATCATCTCAGGGTAGGCACAAAGACCTCCCATTCTTTTGTTGATGCTGAAAGCACACACATGTAATACTTCTCCATATAGAGCAATTACCCAATACTGCTATGGGACACATGAGGGGCTGGAAGGCCCCCATAACTTGTAGGAAATCCCCCACAGAAAGGTGGTTGGCAGTAATTGCTCTCTTCTATATCTATCCCTGGAGACCGACTGGAATCAAACTAACTTTTCAGCACTGCAAACAGAAGAAGTCCTGTTCCTCTAGTGCTTCACACATGTGCCACCCTCTACAAAACCTGAATTACAACTGTACCCCAGGATATGCGGCTTAAGCATTCAGACAGGGCAAAGGAGACTTAAAAGTACATACACAAGCAATGGAATTACTGGGAGCAGTTTAGCTGGTGTTACTCCACACAGTTTCCAGTATTCGTGAAAACATGATACAACATCCAAAGATATGGTCAAATTTCACAGACAAATCAGCATTTGTTTCCTATGTCTAAACCTGCCAGAGCTTCCTATCTGGAAAAGGATCTTGGAGGTTGTGTGGTCTTCCTTTTTCACTTTAAGGAATCAGGGAAATCTGAAAAGGAGTTGCCCAAGGTCATGTGGAGACCCTGAAGTGAAGCTGGACTCACATCTTGTGACTGTACACATCATTAACTTGACTGCCCCGGGGGAAATGTGTTTGGCAACTTAACATAAATAATGATGACACTTTGATCAAACCCAGCTTATTTTCTCACAATCATCAATGATGATTTTACCAGCAGGCATGGGAAAGTGCTGATCTTCAGAGCTACTGGTCCTGTAGCAGGACCTTGTATAAGGACCTGTTCCAAGAGTGAGGAAAGACGCAATACATTGTAGAAAGGAAGAAGTCAGATGAAATCGCAGCTTTCTGTTTTGGTCATTTCACAATCCCCAACTAACAATGTGAAGAACTTGCAATTCAATTGGCAACTTAACCAAAAAAAAAAAAAAAAAAAAAAGGATTACCAACTATTAAACAGGTCACCATAAAAGTAATATTTAAGAAGAAATACAGAACTTGTATAAAAGCAAATATCAAAGTCCAACATGAATGGATGACAAACTCCAGAATCACAGTAAGCCTTTTCCTTTCTTTTCTGGAATACTTGTGAATGTAACAGAAACATACAAGACACCACAATGTGTGGCTGCAACTCAGGAGAGTGGGTTGGGAGAGCCAGGATGGCCTGTTTAGGAAAGTGGCATCAAAGAAAAAAAGATGCAAAATAGCATTCAGTCCTGGAAATTGTAAGCAGGTTTCTTAAATGCAATGTCTGTATTACTGTGCGAGACATTCAATCAACTATCTCTGTAAACAGTTTCAAGCAGTTTGGAGTAATTTCTATTCATACTCTCTCCAAACACAGGGAACAAGATCTCCCTTTAAGTTTTTTTTTCACTGTAACCTCACGAAAAGAAAAGCTCTTATTCTTTTAGATTTTTCCATGAAACTGGTTATTTATAATCTGAACCAAGGTGCTTTTGAAATTCCACACTTTTTACAGTGACACACTACATGAAGACAGAGGGTGAGTGGGAGAAGCCAGCAAACCCAAGCAAGTGTCCATGCTTGAGTAATCCAGAGGGCAATAGGCAGTGGCCACACTTGTGAATTGGGAGAGTGGGAAAATTTGGTGACGGGTCAGTATCCATTCCCCAGGAGGCTGTTGTTCCTTTTCGAGCTGTCCTATCTAGGGAAGACAGAATCAGATTTTTTCATATGGCTCCACAAGTATTTTCAAGTGACACCTTCTGGACAGGGTAGGCAACCACATTTGGAAATGAGGAGAAAGTTGGGAAGGTATAGAGTAAGCATATTCAAAAGACAAGTCATAGCCTGGGAAAGATTGTGGCCACATCCATTAGCCCTCAGATCTAAGAGTTTCAGGTCACTAACTCCTTCCCATCTTCAGGATTTCAGATCGCTCTCGGACAGCAGAGAGAATGATGACAGAAGAAATAAAAAAACAAAATCAACAAATAAGCAAAAGCATAACTGTGAGAATCAACAGTATTTTAACTAGAAAGCTGCTCAAGGACTGACTGCATGCTCTTACCACACTCAAATTGTACTCTTAACTTTATAGCAGTGCTAATGGACGCTGAAACCAGAGACCTTCAGCAACGCCAAAGCCCGACTCAAGTGCTGAATACAGCCCACATCTCACGTCATTCACAATGAAAACAATACCAAGCTTATAGATTATAAAATACACTTTTGTCCTGAAAACAGAAGCTTTCTAGATTCAAAAAAATTCCAAAGATGACAAATATTCCCTAACAAGAAATCCCAATGCCAGAAATTGTCCACATTAATTAAGTGTTTCATATTCTAATTAAAGGGGAAAAAACTCACCCATAAGCAACTCCTGCTATGGTGCACTTCTTAAACTGCATTACATTGCATGTCAAGGTGCCAGTCTTGTCCGAAAATATGTATTTAACCTAAAAATTTGAAAAAAATTAAAATGTCATATTAACACTTCAAATGTTGTTTAATGCCAGAAGAACAACCCTTATATATTTTAAGCAACTTTGTTACATTACAGGGGCACAAGGAATGCCTAGTACCTACTTTCTGTAATTCACCAAGGTATACATTTGGCTTAACTTAGTGTTTTAGCAACAAATTATTTCATGAACGGTACTAAGATTTTTTTAGGAAAACTAGTTATACAGAAATATCCTCAGTGCAGTCTGAATTTCTACTAGAAAGTACCATTGCCATGACTTAATATTTATAGAGCATGAGAGCATCTCTTAGCACGTCTCGACATAGTAAGCAATTGTAGAATTGGCAATAGCTTGTGCAATTAACTTTATGTAACATCTGAGTTGTTAAGAAAAAGGATAATTCTGGTCTAATTGCCTTCCGAAAAGAAAGAGTTGGGAAATGGCAGTGGTATAAAACAGAAAAGTCTTTTTTCAGCTAGTATACACAAATAGATGACAAATATGTACATAGACATGAGTAACATAGTATGAATTATAAATGTTAAATTCCCATTTGACTAGACTTAAACAGCATCACTGATGATTTTTTTCCTTTCTTCCTGGATGAAAACTATGATCAATTCATTACATTTATAACTTGAAGAGCATTCTGCACTCTATATGCTAATCAGGCTAAAGTATGAGGAGCCTCACTAGGCTTGTGCGGTATTTTACTATGACAGCAAATTCCAGCTTAAATGGCTTTTTAAAAAAATTACTAAATATGAAAATTGTAAGTCACATGCTACCACATATATTTACACCAATTATTCAAATACTGGAAAAGCAGCAGCTGTCCATGCATCCGACGCTGCCACAGAAGACAGGAATTCCACCAAAACTGACTCGAACTCAACAAAAGTCAATACGAAGTTGAGTTTACCTGACCAAGTTCCTCATTCAGATTTGACGTTCTGGCCATGGCAGCAGTGTCTGTGGGTTCATAGTGCATGTCCAGATCCTTTAAAAAATAAAGAATTAATTCAATGCAACTAATAAATAAATACATGTAAATTAAAAAGACAGCAAATAATATCTTCATTAGTAACTCACTGTTTAACAGGTGAGTTGTTTATATTAGGCAACTCACATTTCTTGTTTTCCATGCACCATTTCAATTGATTTTCCTGATAAGTACTCAACACAAAATATTATCTCTCTTAGATAGGGTAGGATAGTATGGTAGGCAGAGAGTCTCCTTAGAGTTAGATAACCCAGGTTTACTATCCTACCATCATTGTACATGTGGGTCACCTATAGTAATGATGAGATAAGGTATCACCCATGAAGTGCTTTTATTGTGCTTAACGACATGAACACACACACTCACAGACACACATATTAAACATTGCTCAAGTAATCAGGTTTTCAATCTCTGCAAAAGTTATCCAAGAGATTCTATCAATTTGTACATTGTACACAAAAGTTTTTGCACTGTATATACTCATAAGTGAAACAAACACATCAAAGGCTTTTTATTATATGCGCCTGAAGCTTGCCTATATCATCCTACATTTCCCATAGATTATTTTACTAACAGATCAAGGCCTTAGTTTACAGGCCCAGCACAAAGGTTCAGTTGGCTAATCTTCACCCTTCAAGTGCTGGGATTCCACATGGGCACCAGTTTGTATCCTGGCGGCTCCACTTCCCATCCAGCTTCCTGCTTGTGACTTAGAGGATGATGGCTCAAAGCCTTGGGACCAGGTAACCCGTGGGAGACCTGGAAGAATCTCCTGGCTCTTGGCTTTGAATCAGCTCAGATCTTACTATTGCAGCCACTTGGAGAGTGAACCAATACAGAATATCTTTGTCTCTCCTTCTCTCTATACATCTGCCTTTCCAGTTAAAATAAGTAAATCTTTTAAAAAGGTTGTAATATAAATATTCACAAAATAAAATGATACAGGCAAATTCTTTATTCCAGTTAATTTTTCCCATGTTTGCTTTCTGAGCCTGATCAATTATTACTTTTGGAAACAGATATTGGATTTTGTGTGCTATGTTTCAAGAGAGACATTAAATAACTGGATCACATCCAGATAAAAGAAAGATGATTAGAATGGGGGAGGGTGAGCTGGGAATCTCATGAAATGAAGACCAAAGGATATGGAGGATGTTTAGTTACAGACAAAAAGTAGAACAAGCATATAGCTGAGTTCACATTTTACAAAACTACCATTTAGCAACAAGATTTTCATAATACATCCATTGAGCAGGCCAGCATCAAAGAGAAAACAGTTGCTAATCTCATTTTCACAGGAGAAAGGCTGCATTGTAAGGAAGACCATAATAGAAGATCTCTGTTTATTAAAGAGTTGGTTGAAAAGCATAAGCTTTCAAATAATTCTATAGTTACTTGAGGCAAACACAAGGGTACTTTAAAATGTTCAGGGAAAACATGTGTTGTGAAAAATCCATGAATGCAAGTCCAAAGTTTTGACAAACAAGCACCTCTTAATTTTTGGAAGTATTTCTCTTAAAAAACACAAAGAATAAAATGTTCAACTCTTCTAGCTTTACAATAAATTTCACTTTTCTACAAATAACGCTTTTTCCAAGTCTCCCCACAAGGGTGAAAGGGGCCCAAGCACTTAGGCAACCCCCCACCCCACTAATGTTCCCGGCCATAAGCCAGAAATTGGATCAAAAAGCAGAGCAGATGAGACACGAATCAGTGCCATATGGCATCTTGACACTGGCACTGGAGGATTAGCCTGTTATGCCGTGGCACCAGCCCCCAAAAGTTCAGCAATTTTAACTTTGATAAAAATAAAACTACAGCAACACAGCTTATTTTTAAAATTTAGAAAACATGTCTAACACATTTTAAAAATATTTAAGAAGAAATTAATAAAAATGTAAGCATGGCCAAAACGGTCTAGAAAAATAGATTACAAAGATGAATAAACAAATTAGTTGTTACCAGTAGCAAATATAATATTTTTGCATTATGTTTTAATGTCAATTAAGTTTTAGAGTATGTTAAGAGATTCCTTGATTCATGTAAATATTGGGGGATACAGTGAAGGCATAATTTACCAATCCTATATTACTGTCCATAAAATAAGTTTCAAATAATGGCCCCTTCTCTACATGTCAAGAGATCAAAAACCCTACTATGCTCCCCCTCTTTTTCACATATGCATATACACACGTTTATGGTAATGATAAACACTAATAATTTGTATTTACCCAATTTATGAAGTATGCCTGAGTAAATTTCACCACTTCTAATGTAACCAACAAGCTGATAGGAATGAGGTTGTTGAAAAGGATAATGAAGGTCAAGAAATTCAGTCCAAAATTATTAGCGCCACCATCTGTTGGAGAAATTAGGGAAAATGTCATTTACAGTTTTATATTTTATATAAAATAATACAGTTTTATATTTTATATTTATATAAAATATATATCATATTTATATTTATATATTTATATAAAATAATACAGTTTTATATTTTATATTTGCATGGATCAGAATTTTAGGATAACAAGAATTTTCCATTGTCTGGAGCATTTGTAGATAATTTGAAAGAATACTGTGTTGATAAAAGGCTAATTGTCAAAAATGTCATTTGAGATGGAATTGTAATACATGTATTTAATATACTGCTAATCCTTTTAGGAACTGTATAGTACTCATGGTGAAAACAGCACCCAGTATCATGGTATAGTTCCAAACAGGAAGTTGAGGAAACAGAGAGAAGACTGAGTTTTAACAAGTGTCAGGTCTCAATTGTGCAGAACTACTTTTGTAATGAATTCTTACTAACTTAACTTGCATTTTAAAAGTAAACCAACAATCACTTTTTGGTCTTTTGGATAAGAGTATGCGTACAAGCAAATGAGCAGAACAGTAACAGCAGAAACAAGGCAAACTTGTGCATACTGTATGGTCCCGGGCAAACTGACATCTTCAGCAAATCTTACTCTTCCTGCTAATGAAAATGAAACAGCTGGGCCAGGTACACTGAACACTATACGAAGAAACAAACCGATTTTGGCAGTAGGAGTCCTAGTGTTGGAAATCATACCCCTATGACTATAAAAACAACTGGGATAAGTGTAAAGACAAATAAATATCAAAAACATTTCACAGTTCAATTTTTAGTAGTAGTCTACTAGAATTTATATATATACTTTTGGAAATTATATTGGCTAGTGGAGATGCAGATTTGTTTCTTAAAAAATATTACATTGCATTTATAGCATGGATAAATGCTCAAAAAAAAAAAAAACGGCTTAGCAGCCACTATACAATATGAAAATCATCACCAGGGGATTCACTGTGTTTCCTGAGGTCCAAGAAATTCCATTCGGCTGAGGTACCTCTTAAGCATGTGAACTACTTTTGGGGGCTTCATACCTATGTATGGATGATTACACCATAACATATTCTATCTATGCAGTGACAGCCTCCATATATTCATTTGATTTTCTCTGATAGTTATAAGCATCTGTGTTAAATATATTTTGAAAGCATAAATTTCATTTATTTATAGCATGTAAGAGACTAAATATTCTATGTCTCTAGGGAATACTCATTTTGTTATTAAGGATTGAAATGTGGGAGAGCCCAAAATTTTACTTATTTTGCTGGATATCTCATTGAAAAGTTAAATTAAATGCCCAGCTATCTTTGGCAATATGAGTTTTGAAAACATACATAACATTGGGCCCGGCGTGGTGGCACGGTGGTTAAGGTCCTCCCCTTGCACGCCCGGGATCCCATATGGGCGCCGGTTTTAATCCCGGCAGCCCCGCTTTCCTTCCCGCTCCCTGCCTGTGGCCCGGGAAAGCAGCAGAGGACGGCCCAAAGCTTTGGGACCCTGCACCCGTGTGGGAGACCCGGAAGAGGCTCCTGGCTTCGGATCGGCATAGCATCGGCCGTTGCGCTCACTTGGGGAGTGAATCATCGGACAGAAGATCTTCCTCTCTGTCTCTCCTCTCTGTATATCCACCTTTCCAATAAAAAAATAATAATAATAAAAATAAATCTTTAAAAAAAAAAGAAAACATACATAACATAAATAAGATCAGTTGTGAAACAAATATGTTTGAATGAGTGGAAAAAACAAGTGCAGTAATCCCTTGACTGCTTACAGCTTAGGTTGAGATACCAGTCCCTCCCAGAATGCCTTCGATTCCAAATGGCTGAGCCCACGGAGCAGACAAGAGACATGGCAATCAGGATACAAAATAGGATCAGAATCTGCATATTTGTAATCCGTTCCACGTTTGAGAGCTTAAGTGGAGGACTCGTTGAGTTCTGTCAAAAGAAACATGATGAATGATGAAAAGGGATACACATAAAGAACTCAGTAATGTCTTCTTAGCATCTGATGACAGTGACAAAGACACAATTCACTATCTAGACATGAGGGTGACGCATGTAAATCATGCAAAACTCACAACAAATATAGGAGGTGTCAGTGGCTAACCACCTCTCTTTCTCAAGGTCCCTATGCCACTCATACCTTTCCCTAGGAAGCAAAACAATGACAGAGAAGGAAAGAACATTCCCCTTGCAGACACAGATTTTGCTCATCACATGCAAGATGAACATGCCTTCCTATGCTACCTAAGATAAAAGAGAAGTTTAGGAGCATCTAGTCAGTTTCTCAGCTCAATAGGAAAGGCAGAGAAGGCCAGAGCATCCACAACCAGACATGGGCAAGTCTGAATGCAATGTTTAAGGATCTCAGACTTTCATATTTGTAGTGGCATTTAGCAATATTTTACTGAATGCCAACAGCAATTGGCTGCAAGGAACCAAAGAAGCAAGTTTCCTTGGTTATATCTATGATTCAAATGGCCATCTGTGCCAACCAAGGAACCTGCAGGGTGGAAAACTAAGTGCCTTAATCAATACAAAAAGGTTTACAGCATTTATAGACATGGCTAGAGGTGGAATCAATAGGTTCCCTGTCGACAGGTAACATCTTCAGGCTTGGGGGAAGCATAAAGGCATTAACCCGCAGGGCATGACTGCCACCGAGTCTCCTGCACTAACTCCTAAACACCAAGAGTAGGGCAATGTAGAGCATGAGCTTTATCAGACAAATGTAATTACCAGTGTTAGTATTAAACAATGTCTAAAACCTAAATGTTAGGACAAACAATTTTATATACAAGTTTTTCTTTTATGAAAAAAATAAATATTACAATTTGGTCAATGCTGAGCAATCTTTATTATACAAACAATTTTTTTATCAGTCACAGAAATTACTGAAAAAGAAGTAAATAAAAGAGGTAGTAAATGTTACTGGTGAGCCAATACACAAAATCACCACTAGGATGGTAATGGGTGACTTGTGAAACTCTCCAGTGTTTCCAGGTGATGACCCCTTCTTTTAGGGAGGAAATTTGAAGAAGTCACTCACCAAAGTATCAGATTCTGAATATATGGGATGGGGGAGGATCAACAATCTGTGACAGTTGGTCTGCTGTGTTTGGAACTAGCACCTGCAGAGCTATAGACAATGCACTTAGAGAACACATAGGTGCAAAAGGCTTCACACATAAAAGTTCACCTGCATCAGCTTGGTGTCATGTCCAGTGTAGACAACGATCCCGTGGACCCACTGCGTGTTTCTCAGCTGAGCACCTCGAAGAAGGATCTGATCTGCGCCCAGGGGAATAGTGCTAGGATAGATTACGTTGATGTTAGAGCTAATGCACCAGAAAGCTATAGCCAGTACAGAGTTCTGAAAGATTTCATTACTAAAATGCCCCTCTGACATTTGCTTTATTTCTGAATTGGGAATCATTTCCCCACCAGTAGCAATGGAAACAGCTGGAAGGAAGTATTAAACGTTCTTATCTGCAATTGCCTGAATCCTGTTTCCTCAATATTCTCATGTTGAAGCTCTCACCCTCACAGGGACAGTGGTGGTGGAGGGTACCTTTGGGAGGCACTTAGGTTTGGAGGAGGCCGAGAGGGCAGGGCCCTCCTGATGGGATTAACGCTATTAGAAGAGGAGACATCAGGAGCTCGCTTTCTCTGCCCCATGGCGGCACCGCCAAAGAAGAAAAAGAGTCTTCATTGGAATCTGACTACACAGACATGCTGATTTTACATTTCCAGACTTGAGAATGGTGGGGAAAATAAGCTTCTAATATAAGTCTGCAGGTCTATGGAATTTTGTCCTAGAAGCCAGACCAAATAAGACACACTATTCAAAATAACAGATAATATTTTGGAATCCAGAGACTAATCCTCAAACCTACTTAGTGATTTTACTTGCAGAAGTTGATTGGGTTTCTGAAACGTTCATAAGTGAAGCATCTAAGGAATTTATCCCATTTTTGAACATCCCCCTGACCACACACATGATTGCTTTTGGTTAAAAATAGTGCTATGTAAAAAAAAAATTAAAAAAAAAACACTAAATATTCATATGTCACCATATACTTACCTTATATCCATCTTGCCAGAGACAAATCTCTGTACTTAAAACCTCTAGGCCAATCATTTTATAATACATAAAGATTAGAATAACGAATACATTTCTAATGAATGATAATCATGTTCATTCTGTATCATTTGAACCATGTTTTCATAAATAAGGTTCAGGTGAGGCTCTTTTTTTTTTTTCAGTAAATAAGACTATTCATGGTCTCAGCATTTGGCCCATCCTTGGCTTGCAAGCGCTGAGATCCCACACAGGTGCCCGTTCTTACCCTGGCCACTGCACTTCCCTTCCAGCTACTTGCTTGTGGCCTGGGGAAGCAGTAGAGGATTGCAATAGAGGAGGGACCAATGCCTTGGGACCCGGCATCCATGTGGGAGACCCAGAAGAAACTCCTGCCTCCTGGCCTCAGATTGGCTCAGTTTTGGCCACTGAGGCATCTGGAGAGTGAACCAACAGATGGAAGATCTTTCTGTCTCTCCGTCTCTCTGTAAATCTTTCCAACAAAAATAAATAAATCTTAAAAAAAAAGTGTTCACTGTAGTATGTGATGCAAACTCATTGAGGAATATAAGAACCATAAAGCTATCACAGCTATCTTGTGATTCTTGGTGAAAATGTAGTATCTACAGAATGTAATGGCTCTCCTTATCACCAAGTCTTCATTTTGACAAGAGAAACAAACTAAAAGCTGAATATAGAAAAAAAATGCCTTTAAGAAGTCTGGAAAAGGAAAGAATATTCCCCAGAAAATTCTCTAGAAAACGTAACCCTTCTCAGGTTGGTGAAGTGAGACGGAAGCCCTCATGTCTGGTGCATTTCTGGGGACTAGGAAGTTTCAAAGGTCAGGAGCAGCTTGGGCCTTGGAACTTTTTCCAGAAACTATGCACATTTTGCTGGTTAGAGTGAAATCAACCCATCTGGGTAGGTGATAGCACTTGAGTGAATCTTTAGGCAACAGTATATTCTAATATGCAGGAAGAATGAACCAATTATATCTCAAGAAAACTTAGTTATTAGGGTTTTGCTTAATAACAGGTAAAATTTCAAAGTTTTGGGGTTATGAGACTGTGACACTTATTCTTAAAGGGGTCAAAACACAGTAACTCCAAAAGACCTTCAAGAGTTCTGGGCGTGTGTGGGATCACTATAAAAATACAGATCTTAAAAACTTGTTTCCTCTTTCCATATAAAGCATATTTTACACATTTTATGTACCCTAAATCCTGGCACCAAATACAATGTTTCTTCTTCTGCATATATTTTCTTTGTACTGGTTTGACAAGGACAGACTCATCAGAAATGGAAGTTGGCTAGTTAACAATGTCAGAATCCAGAATCACTAGCTGTATAAATGACTGAATTTATCACTAGTCTACGACCATATGTTCATGGAAAGATCACTGTGCAAATTTTAGACCAATAATTACAGGAAAGCATTTGGTGGCTCTGAATGAGGATACACATTACCCAGGGTATATTTCAAATATGTGTTAGAATTGAGGTACAGTAATACAATTACAAATATAACGACAACATGGATAACATTCTCTCAGGCTAGTGGATTCAATTAATGCGGCTAGTTGTTCCTTAATTTTACACTACAAATGCCCAAGAGGTATGGCATAATGTAGAGAAAGCAGAGAAAGGAGGGAAGGAGGAAGCAAATTTCTGCAGGAAAACAACATACCATGGTTTGACTGGTATGGTATTCTGCCACAAATGGACATAAGACAGGCACTCCCTGCAGGAAATGGGTCCTCCCCAAACACCAATCGGTGAAAAATATGTTCTTGTTTGTTTAAGCAATCAACCAGAACAGAGTAAGACACAGAACAGGAGGATTCATCGACTGTGTTGCTGCTGCCTCCTAGTATCTGCCAGGGTCCCAAGTCCACTGCTTGTTGCATGAATGGAGTAAAAGGGAGGGAAAATGGAATGGAGGGAAAGGCAAGAAGCAGTTAATAACAAAAGATGATTCTAGATGATAACAGGGCATAGAAAAGAGTATGGTGAGATTATATGGAGAGAAGACAAGAAATTATGCAGTAAAGCCTGAAGTCTCTGACTCACCTACCGATAACAAGAAAGGATGCAAGCCCATGTGGGTTGGACAGTTAGGTCTGCATCATGAGTCTTTTAGTCAAAGAATAGGCCATAGGTTATTTACCCAGTAAAAAAGATGCCAGATGCATGGAGTATCCTTAAAGAATACCCAACCTTCAAACTGGCAGGACCCCCAGAGAACCCATCTGCTATACCACATGGAGAGGAATAAGACACAATATTTTCACAAAAGAACTTGGTAGAATATAGAGAAGATTTTTAAAAAAAAAAATAGACTTGGAGAATTCAAATTTAGAACACCAGAAAATACTATGTATTCAGACTTGGATGACAGCCATACACTGCCACTTACTGAGTTCTGTGTTGTTATGAAGACTGATTTACATACCCGTGCCCATCAAGTCGGATATTTCCAACAAAATCATAGAGATGTCTGTTTGGACTCTCACACTCAATTCTGCCAGAAATTCTCATCAAACTTTCAATGTCTTTGATGTCTGAGGTTGCTGGCAAGCCCTGTTTATAGAAATTATTAAATAAGCAAAGAAAATACTCAACAAGTTATGTCACGGGAAGAGTAGAAATTCAGAATTCAACTGTCTTAAGATCTAGGAGATCCTACTGTTTTGTAAGCAAGCTTCATTCCTTATACGATGCTTTGTCAAACCTCCCCAATTTTAGCACAAGAACAGGAGGGCTTCCTTGAAACTACTAAGGAGACAATAAATTAGTCTGCAAAGATAATTCAAGAGCCCCCCCAAAGCCATTTGCTTCCAAAATTAAAATGAATATTTTACAACTAAAAGTCTATTTACTAAGTCTACAAACAGGGACAAAACCAGTTTAGAATCTACGTTCAAAGACAGTGGCTTTGTTTCTTCTTTTATTTTTTAAGTCACTCAGGAGAAGCAGTCCTAGAGATTTCTTCCTGTTACATGGCTGAGTCCTAGCACTTTCAAGCATTTGTTGAGGATCCTGTTCCACCACAGCCAGTGCTTCCACATTTCTCAAAATACACACACACATTTTTTTAAAGTCTCATTTAAAACTTTATAAAGGAAAAACTTACAATTGCTTTCTATTACGGACAATATAAAAAAGAACTATTATATATTCCCCTAGATAACTTAGATCTTTAGAACAGCAATGGAAACTACAGCTTTTTAAAACAGCAATATCAGATTCTGTTGGGCCAGGTGAACAAGCAAAATAAACATACTAACAAAATTCCAAAGCACGGTGGTTCTTACTATCATTATTATCGGGGTGTTGGCAATTACACAAAATCACCAACAATATTACAAATGTTATTTCTATGATGGACTCTATTAGCCAGGCACATATATCTGAGTGTTACATCATTACAATACCAGTTTATTAAACCTCTTCACTGTGGCTCAATGAAAAAAATATTTGCAGTTGCAAGGAAAATATCTGCAGTTTCACTCCAGATAATAACACAAAGAAACAAGTTATTAAACAGCAATGATAGCATAAACCTGCATTGTCTTTTACCTGTCTTATTTTCAAGTTCGTTTCACCATCTAAGTTGGACGTTTCAATGTGGCACATGGCCTGAGGTTCACTGCAGTTTAGAAGTAAGAAACACAAAGGTTAGTGGGGGAAGGAAAGACAGTAGTAACAACTTACTCAACTGCTTAGATTCACCAAATGTTTTCTGTTCTACAGGAAGCCACAGTTATCATTCTAATGGCAAAGTGCTGGGAGGCAGGACCCATGCATGACAGCTCCCGGATCAGCTTTGCAGGCAGAAGGACCCTAATGCCACTCCCTGAGAATGATCAGTAATGATCTTCAAGACAATGTAAATGAATAATTTGTCTCATTATATTTAAATGAAATAACCCATGTAGACATGACACAATATGTATTTGAAATACAAAACGAGATTTGTGTCCAGACATATCTTCAACTCAGTAATATCAGTGAGATTTTGTGCTCATGGATCACATGTAAATTGGTTAAGGAAGTGGTTGATTAGAAAATTCTAGATTGCTACTTCTACAAACTTGGCACTTACTGTCCCTTTAGTTATGAAAAATAGCACTGCATGAATCATAGTGCTAAAATTTTAACACCTGTGTTAAAATTTATATGAACATTTTCCAATGAGAGTGGATGAATACTTTTATAATACCAAGTTCTGCTCTTCTATTTCTTAAGCTTGCTAGGCATTCAATTTTATTTTGATTCACTTCAACATCTGTATATATTTTAAATTCATCAAATCAAGTGATTAGTGTCCTATTACCTTATTTTTGTAATTTTGAGGCTACTAGCTCTTCTCTTCCCATTCCTCATAGTTTATAACAACCTTGTGAACTCCAGTTTCCTCTGCATGCTTATGTCTAGCTGACTTTGTTTAGACATCCCTAACCACTGCTCTTCCCTCCTCTCTCCTCACTCTTCTCTCCATCATCTTCCCAGTACCTGTGTGATTTCTGTGGCAACAAAACCTAAAACTACAGACAACTTGGCTATATTTGATCTAATCCTAGATGGAGTATTTTACATGTCCCCACCACAGAGTTCCCATAAACTTTGATGGGCGGTACCTGTTGTAAGGAGTGTTTTATCCTAGGTACAATGCCTGGGACAGTCTTCTTTTCTTCATATGCTGACTTTAATGTCCTAGCAACTGGACACACATGAGTTGGTAGATCAACTGCATTAACTTGATCCTCAACTCTAAGGAAAAGCACTCTGAGGCTAAATCCATTGTAACCTTGGTTTACTACACTGCTAATATGATATATTTAGAGCAAAGAGAAAAAAGTTTTCTAAGTCTAAAGTATCCAGAATTTTCTAATCAACTTTCAATTTGCACATGTGAAAATAAACTGTTCCAAATTTCAGAGTGAGGATGGGATACAACTTTGTGGCCTATAGGTTTGACAGTCCCTTAAACACATGGAGATAAATCAAATGTTTCACATATTTATCTTGAAATAACTTTACAAATACCTCAACTCACTCTGTAGGCTTCCTTTCATAAGGACTGCCACTTTTACCCAACTGGATAATCAAAACTTTGTTTCTTAGTAAGTGTCACAACACTAATTTGCCTCTGGCAGCTGCTCCAAATTCGTAATAAACTTCTATATGTGTTTGAAACACAAATGGCTTATTAAATTATAAAATGCATCTTCTGGTAATGTAGAAGCATGATGATAAACAAAATGGTAAATGACAACAATGATTCCATGTACTGGCACTCATATGCTTTAAATTTTTACTGATTAATATACTTATCCAAGCCAGTCTCCTATTAAAATAACATTCTAATTCTGTCTCTTTTTTGTTTTTCCCACAAAGCAATTTTTCTTAAACATTAAGCAGAAAGTTAAAAAGCTCCAATGGAATGGCTGACTTCTCTTGGAAGTCATGGATACACACCCAAATTCAGAACATTCTTTACAAATCACTTAAGGTAGCTGTGATGGAAGCAGCTCTTAGAGTGCTGTGAAAAGGCAGCAAGAAATCTTAGAGGAGAATCATGCTAGATCATTAATATTTCAGCAAGTTATGATGACATCCAAAACACAAACCACAGAGAGGCAAAGCAGGCTTTCTGATTAGTAAGTGGAAAAATGGAACAAGATGCGCATCACGATACAGACACTAGTACACAGCTGAAATTTATCACAGGAACGTGCACTTCTTCACGAGTCACAGTGGGATAAAAACTGATCCCAAAGCATGCGGTACGAAATGTGTAATATCCAGCTTTGTGCAGGGGGTCCTCCATAAACCCCATGTAAGCTCAAATTGCAATCGTAATCACTGGAAGGATTCTATACACAGAAAATTTAAGATATGCAAAGACAGGAGGTTTAACATCTAATCAATTTTTATTGACTATTTCATGAAGACATTAATATTTGAAAGAATATCCTGGAGAGGTAATAAATTAGGTCTTCCTAATCAGGCACTTTTTCAAAAGATGAATATTTATCAACATTACATAGGAAATGGGAATCTAACTTTACCGGCATGTCTCTTGCACTCCTATTGAAAATAACAGGAGTTACATCAGCCCGAACTAAAGGCAGTTATCATCCTACATGATATTTGCAAACTGCAAAACATCATGAAATGTCCATACCAAGAAGTATCAGAAAGCTCAAATTTTAAAGAGACAGGATACAACTTGGGTGTAACTGCTCTCAGTTTAGGGTGAGGACCCGCATACACATCCTGTACAGCTTGGTGGTTCTAACCTGGAGGACAGACTGATGAGATCTGCTGGGAGATGTTCCCCATTGGTCACCTTCACTATTTCCCCTACTGCCACCTACATGTCCCAGTTTAAAATAATGAAAATGGGGGGAGGGAAGAGGATGAATAACACAGGGAGGAAAAATAAATGGACAAAAGAGACAGAATATAAAATTATTATAGAAAATAATACATGTTAATAAAAATGTGTAATGCCAATTTTTTCAAAATTTATTTTGATCAGGTCTGAAGGTACAGGAAAATATTTAATACTTACGGATTACTGTTTGTTTTTAGGCCCAAATTTAAAATTTTTAATACAAAATTATTTCCTCACAATCCTATCAAATTAAAGACAGAGCTACTTAATCTTACAAATTTAATTTAGTCCAATTCCTTAATGTTGTGATATAGAATAATAAGGATAATATATTAGGGTCAGTCATTAGCTAAAGTTTAGAGGTTAAAAATAAAACCAATAGAAGCCAGTACCACGATGTAACAGGCCAAGCGTCTGCCTGTGGTGCTGGCATCCAGTTTCGGTGCCAGTTCTAGTCCCAGCTGCTTCCTTCTGATCCAGCTCTCTTCTTCTGGTCTGAGAAAGCTGCAGAGGATGGCTCGAGCCCTTCCATCTGTGCACTCAAATGGGAGACTCATAAGAAGCACCAGGCTCCTGACTTTGGATTGGCTCATTTCTTGTTGTTGTGGAAATTTGGGGAATAAATCAGTAGATGGAAGATCTCTCTCTGTCTCTCCTTTTCTGTCTGTAACTACCTTTCTAAAAGGATTTTTTAAAAATAAAACAAGTACAAAATTATGCTTTCTGCATAATTTATTCATATTTCTTAAGATTAACATACACTTAAACTAAGTAAGTGGGCAGAAATAGTTATCTAATAGTACAGCCTTTATATTATATTTTAAATCTACCAAACAACCAAAATCAATAAATGAGAACATCTTTTTAGAACATTTTCTCTGTTGAAATTTAACCATTGTGTATGTTGTACTGATTTTAGAAACTGTTTGGATCTATCAATACTGATAGATACCAGTAAATGTTTTTAATATTTAGAAAATATTGCTACAGAATAATCTAAAATTTGGGAAAAACAAGCATGTAGCTTACAGAGGAGTTCAGGGGCACAATAGGCACATATGACAAATACTGGGAAATTCTCAGCTTAGAAGCAAGTCTAAGGTCAGGTCCAGATGACCAATTATCATCACATATTTTAGCAAAAGCAAACATTGTAATTAATTGTTCAGCATATATGCCTTTCTGTGACAGTATCTCTAAGAGTTTAATGCAGAAAAATGTACTTCCATTAAACTGTTAGAAGCTATTATTACTATTCTGCAAAAATACAGCATTTTGATCATTACTGATCCAATACATTCTTCAAACTTTCACTCAGTACCATAAAATTCTAAAATTTATCTAAAATTCAATTTATCTAAACAAAAATAACTGATAAATAATAGAACTGGCTCATTTAATCTGTCTTTCTCAATGAAAGAATGCTAAGCAAGACTTGAGAGATTAAAAGTTTATTCAAAATCATTGAGCCAGGATAAAAATCTTGGTTTTCTGCCTCTTATGCAGAGTTCTCTCCATAATCTAAGACAATGACAATGAGTTCACACTTAGACTCATCCTCACATAGTCACCTAGGCATCCCTGGCTTTGCTCCAGTTTCAGAAATATATCTGATAAAACTGACAATAAAAAGAAATTAAGGATATAAGTGTTGATTACAAAAAATCTCTATTAATATACCTGGTGGGAAAAACAGCTACAGTTAAACAAAACCAAATAAAAAAGTCACTAACTACAGTTATCAGCTCTTTCAAATATTTGTAGAGTTTTTATAAGTATCCAGATAACTTTTTTTTCTTCTTCTTCTTTTTCTTTTCTTCTTCTTTTGTTTTTGGAAAGGCTTATTTACAGAGAGAGAGAAACTGAGAAAAAAAATCTTCCATCCATTGGCTCACACCCTAAGTGGCTGCAACAGCCAGAGCTGAGCCAGTTCGAAGCCAGGGGCTTCTTCAGGGTCTCTCATCCAGGTTCAGGTTCACCCAGGCCATCCTTCACTGCTTTTCCACACCATCAGCAGAGATCTGGTTCAGAAGTGGAGCAGCCAGGACACGTACTGGTGTCCATATGGATGCTGGCCCTTGCAGGTGAAGAAGAGCCTGTTGAGCCACTGAATCAGCCCCATAAATATTCAGATAATGCTTATCTGCCTAATTCATTGTCACTGATTTGTCACGAACCGAGTCACTTTAAATCATGACCTGATTAAATAGATTTTGAAAAAAGGACACAGTCCATATTTTCATGTGGGTTTTACAAATAAAACTGTCCAAGGAAATGATGATTAAACAACCTCTAAAATCTTGGAAACATTCTTAATTTATATCAGGACTAGCTTTTTTTTTTTTTAAACCTGAAACCATTTGAAAGTCATATTATTTAAATGGTAACCATGTCATATATTTTGAATACTAAATCAAAACTATTTAAAATAATGAATAAAGCAAAAAAATATCTAAATCCAGCAACAGAAGGAACTTAAAGTATTTTTGTTGGAAGAATATGGCATTTCGATAGGTATGATGACATAAAAAATCATTCATCCTATATATTCTGCAATTGGAGTGAAGAAACTCTGCAGGGATATTTGAACGCATCATAACGGAATGTACAATGAAAATGGATCGAGAGATAAAATTAATAGAACTCAACCCATGTCTTATATAAAATAAATGACAGGAAATCATAACAAAAGTTAGCGATCTGTGCAAAATAGTTTGGACACATCCAGAAGGAGAGTAGACCCTCAGCTATAATTATAACTTTTTTTAAATACTTCTCATTTTATTTTATACCAAAAGCCTGAAAGAGCCCTTCAAGTCCAATTATTCCTACGTGCTTAATAAAAAAAAAAATCAGTGGAGAGGCTTAAAGATCTTCGTTTATTCCTTATTTCCTTGGAGAAATCACCAGATCAATGCAGGGTAGAGAAGCCATCCTCTACACTGTTTGAGCATTAGGAGGTGTCTCTACCTTGATGAGAGAAGTACAGTGTCAGCAGGTATATACTCTTTGCCTTTTATTATAACTATATCTCCAACATTTACCTGAAAGAAAACTGGGAATCGGTTAATTTTGTGCACTGAAAAATAGTTACAAATATACAACCCACTCCAATTAAGCATAGACTACAGCAAAAATGGCTCCTGGGAAGCAAGAATCACTTAAAATGGCATATAGTTATCTAGCAGGGTTGGCCAGGGACAGGGCCATCTTTTTAAAAATTAATGCTGTCTGTGTTGGATCAGTCCTGTAACTCACCCTAATAAAATATATCTATCCGTTTTATGCACTGAGTTGACATCTCAACTTGTCATGTCCTTTTGTTTTGACATAATCATAAAAAGGAGGAGTTTGCCAACCGAAATCTTTACACACATTAAAAATAAACATCCTCATCTCCTTACAATATTATTTGTTAACTCAGTGATGAACAAGACACAAACGAAACTTAAAGGTACACCAAGGGCACAAACTGGTAGACACAACTGAAGTGACAGTTTGTCACACAGCATTGGTAAACAATATAACTGCAACTAAGGAACAAGCTGGCTTTCCTCACCTGACTGAGTTATCATGAGAGCCATTCGCATTATATCATGAAGCTTGCCTTTTCTTTTAGTGCACAAATGAACCTAAAAGTTTCAATATCTCTTGGTATTTCAGTGCCTCATCATTCTTTCTTGAACTCTAAAATAACACTTTACTCGGGGAATGAAGCAAATAACATAAACAGTAAGGATGATGGCAGAGGGATCCCACTGTGTCCTGCTTTGTATGTCAGGAAGGTTAAGTAGGAAGGTGGGGTAAGGTAGGAAGGAAGGTGTCCTTTTATTTACAATGTGTGTGTTGACTGGGAAGCTCTGGATACCTCAAGTGGAAAAAAAGATTTATTGTCATTGAAATAGGAAATGTGGACTATGCCTGCAACTGGTTAAATTGTCAGGGGATCTGGGATCAAGCACCCCTATCTCACAAGAGGACAGATAAAAATAAAGACCACAAGAAACCACAGACACAAAAATAAACCAGCTCTTAAGATAATGTGCTGTGACAGTACCCTAACAGTAAGATAAGAGATTATCTACAATTAGAGAGAATGCTATCCAAGTAAGAATTTAATTGTTCTTTCATCATCTCCTATGTTCATGCTTCCTCATCAATGAAACTGTATGTTTCATAAAAATCAGGGCCACATGTATCTAAAACCTAGTGCAACACATAACAGATTTCAACAATGCCTGATTGGAATGCTTCCAATGTATTTATCCATCGTAATACAAAAGAAGGGCATGTAATTTTAAACTGCTGGAAATATTAACATCTGCTTACTCAGTGGCCTAGGTCCACTAAATGCTCAAGCAGTTTGTCTCATATACTGTGAGGAAACAAAGAACTTGGTTCCTGCTAGGATGCTTATGTTAGGATCAATTTCTCAACAACAACAACAACCACCTCAGTATGTTTTCTCTTTGCTTCTGAGCCCATAAAATGGCATTCCCTCTTCCAGCATTGTGTATGTATGTACGGGACAGAAGAAAAGACCAAGACAGAAAATGTGTTTTGATAATTTATTCCAGTGGGAGGAAGGCCATGAGACGTAGGTGTACTCCCCAAATTATTAAAGATTAGAAAATATTTAAGGCTTTGTATTCACCATTTTGAGCTTTCTCAAATCACTGACATTAGCAATTATGAGGATGATGTGAAAAGGATTAAATTATCAAACTGTAAAGAATGGAGTTAAAACTGAATTTGTTTTTGTTAAATTCTAGATCCCAGAATTTTTACACTTTTATCATGAGATACAATGTGTTTAACCCAAAGAAACACAATTCATGGCAGAAATTTTCATGCATTAAAGCAGCTCTCTAGGGAGACCATTTCTGTGTGCATTCAGCTTCCATGTTGCACTTCCCTGCTAACCCACAAGGGTGTGTTTTGAGCACTTGGTCAAGAAGCCATTTTTACCTAGCTGGCATCTCAGCATAAAAGAACTTGTTGGCTTCTAATTCTGTGTTGTCATACAGGAACCCTTATCTGGGTTGCTACTGCAAACTCACTGTGTGGCCCATATATTCAGTAAATATTTGTTAATGAACACCATGTATTTTTTTTTCTAAGTTGCTATGGCATGTTAAATTATGGCTTTATTTGCCACAAATTATGTCTATAAAATGCCATAATTTCTTATAATTTCTCTGTTGGATATCCATGCTTCCTAATTTTTCATTAGTGTAAATAAGGCTACAATAAACATCTTATGCAGGTAAAGGGATTTTCTACTTTATTTCCTTGATGTGAATTCCTAGAATCCTTTTTTTTTAATATAAAAAGCCAAACTACTCATCCATAATAGTATATGAATGAAACACATAATGATAAAAATCTGAAATACATTGAACATATAGCAAATGATACCTCAATATTTAAACTTACACACTAATACTGCTAGATCCATTATTAAACTGACTCTCACTATGGTTACTTATTATTGTTAATTTTTAATTTTCTCATGGTTTTAATCATTTGTCATACTGCAAATACTTGACACATGATGCCTACTTAATTTGTGAAATTTGTTGTACATTATTTTTAAATTTTATGTAATTCATAAATCTTGAGATGTTATTCTATTCTAAATATTTATCAAAATATTCTATTTGTATTCTTTTCAGACATATATTTTAAAAATTAAGATTATTTATTCTTTGTTTTTTTTAAAGATTTTATTTTCATTATTTTTTTATTGGAAAGGCAGATATACAGAGAGGAGAGACAGAGAGGAAGATCTTCCGTCCAATGATTCACTCCCCAAGTGAGCGCAACGGGCCGATACTATGCCGATCCAAAGCCAGGAGCCTCTTTCGGGTCTCCCACGCGGGTGCAGGTTCCCAAGGCTTTGGGCCGTCCTCGACTGCTTTCCCAGGCCACAGGCAGGGAGCTGGAAGGGAAGCGGGGCTGCTGGGATTAGAACCGGCGCCCATATGGGATCCTGGGCGTGCAAGGGGAGGACCTTTAACCACTTGCGCCACCGCGCCGGGCCCAGATTATTTATTCTTAATGAAAAGGCATATTTATAGAGAGTAGGAGAGGCAAAAATCTCCCATCTACAAGCCTAAAGCCTTGGTTCACTACAGCCATATGGGAGACCCAAAAGAAGCTCCTGGCTCCTTGCTTTTGGCTTGGATCACTCAGCCCCAGACACTGCAGCCATTTAGGGAGTGAACGAGCAGATGAAAAACCTTTCTTTCCTCCTCTTCTTTTCTTCATAAAATATACCTTTCCAGTAAAATTAAGTAAATCTTTTTTTTTGAAGAAAATCTGTTTATCACACTTATACTTTATCTATATTCTATCTAAAAAGGTTTAATTCCACAAATGCCAGCCAGATGAGCATAAAAGAAATAATCTTTTTGTATTTAAATTTTTCTCTCATGAAAATGCAATGAGCATCACAGAAATTAAAGAAAGCATAATGTAGGCATTTTCCTCTTTGTTAATCTTATGTCAAGACAAAAGAAGTGAGGGTGGTGAATTTTCAACAAGAAGAGATGTCAGTCTTTGTTGTAGCCACTGACTTAAAGTTAACAGAAATGCAATTAATTCTTACTTCAGAGGGACTTTTTTTTTTCCTGGATGGGGATACAAGATAGCCCTTAACATCACATCGCAGGGAATACTGGAGGGCAACTGAACTGCTATTTGTGAGATCAACTCCTTGTAAACTAGCAACCCTCAGAAGCAAAGACTCCTCGGTTGAATTCTTTGGCCTCCAAAAAATGTTTCACCAAGTTACAAAGGTTTATTTTCTTCCAGAATTAAGGGAGAGTCAATCATACCTGCTTACCTTTTGACAGTGAGCTCTGACAAGCACTGGGCACCTGGAGAGCATTTATTGCATTATGGCACACTAACTGTGGGAGGACTTGGAGCGGTCCCACTAGCAGATTACTCCCTCTCATCAGAGAACTGACTACTATTTCATTAGAATATTTCTGGTGTGTAAGACTTTTCTTTAAAAAGGAATCAGCATTATGTAAATGTGATTCATCTCAACAAGTGGAAATTGAGGTGGAATCTGTACATATGAAACATCAGAACTCTTATTTTTATTTGTATTGGACAGATGACCAAAACAAAAAAATCAGAAAACAAAATAGTTCATGGTTAAATAAAATCTATGAAAAAAGTACTAAAAATATACTGTGGATGAAATAAAATTTCCTAGCTATTAAGTTTCAAAATAAATTTTCCTAGAGTATTAAGACATTAAATAGGCATGATAAAGAATTTATGTATGTCCACATTATTAACTAATAATAACAGCTTTCATTTTAGTAGAATCTTTGACATCTATCTATAATACAATATATGTAAAGTATATCCATTACAATGTATTTCTTTGTATTTGTTTTTCTGGGATAGAATAGCAATCAAAGCATACCTTTTCCCAATGAACAATTTCCCAAGCACCATTTCTCAACACTGTAAAGACAAAAGGTGACATTTAAAAGAACTTTTAAAAACCACTGTGAAAAGGCTGTGACCAAATCATCAGTTTAAATGACTAGCTTCAGAGTAAACAGTAGCATTATTACAGATAGCAAATATATGTGAATCATGCAAACAATAGAAACAATGTACATCTCAGTGCCCACAATCTTTTCTCTAATGTTATCAAGGCTTTATTCAGTACCCAGAGGTATCAATAAGCTTGACTGGAGGAGAAAAGTTGCAAAAAATGAAATGGAGTGAGAGGCTTTGCAACATCCCTAATGCCACAACAGTAGTAATATGTTTTTTATTAGAGTCAATACTTTTTTTTAAGATAAGGAGCAATTATGTTTTTAATAATAAAAACTTTAGCACATGGAATTAACAGGTACATTTATCTCACACACAAAAAGTCAAATTATGCATATGTAGCTTACTGAAAAAAGTGAAGAGGTGACAATGATTAAATCTGATAAGTAGGAATTTCTGAGGCTTTCCTTACTTCAATGAAGTTATCCTATACTCTGTCACCTCCCACCTGTCCAAGGCATACTGAACACAACAGTAAGCACTAAAATTTAAACAAAAACAAGAATAGGGAATAATGTGAGTAGACACGACAGCCTGTAAAAGAAGTCCACTCACCACTCCAGACAGTGAATTCCCTGAAGGCAAAGCTAATAGTTACTTCAACATTATATTCCCTGGAAACAGCACAGTACCTGGCACAAAGGGCTACTCAGCAAATATTGAAAGAGTAAAAATTTATAGGTGAAAAAACATTAATTTCACTTTCTTTTGATGTTATGAAATAAAAAGTTTGAGACAGCTGGTAAAAAATAGACACTTTCATTCTTGAAACATTAAAGAGAAAATCTAATGCTTAATTATAGTTTTTGACCAGTATCACAATATAAATTATTTTAATCTAAATAAAATATTTCTAAATAGAAAAATCTAAATAGATTTTTGTTTCAAAGCTCCCTTAGCGCAGGGATTATATCTCATTCATTTCTTTTTTTTATGGTAGACTTTAGAATATTAAGTTTTATTTATTTGAAAGAGAAAAACAGATCTAGAGAGCTTTCAATGGTTCATTCCCCAAAAGTCAGCAAAAGTGAGGGCTGGGCCCAAGCTGGCATGAGCTCAAGCTGGGTCTCCCATGAGAGACGCACAGACAGGTACTTAATTTATCAAGTGTTGCTTCCCACAGTAAGAGGCTGGACTCAGAAGCACAGCTGGGACTTGAATGCAGTCACTCTAATATGAGGTGCAGGTACCCAAGTGACATTCTAGTCCCCGAGCCAAATACCCAGGCTCGACTCATTTCTTTATCTCTGGTATCTCACAGTGCTCTTGGCAATAACACTTTGGAATGCCACACAAACAGAATACAAGAATGAATGCCTTGCAGTACATTTTTGGTGACATGATTTCAAGTTGAAGAGCTAAAACTCGATTTCTAGTATAATATCGTAACTAGTGAAAGAATTCAAGGTTCCAGTGTTAACATCCAGGGGCCAGAAGTCTAAATCACCGGTATCTAACATCAATATAAGTGTCTTACAACAAACTCTAAGGCCTGTGGAGTTTACCTAGCTGTTCTCAGTCCGTGGACTCCTTGACATTGCTCATGATCACATAGCTCACAGTAAGACAGGCCTGGTTTAAGGTGATGCCTCTGTGGGTTTCTAGCAGTTTCTTTTTCAAACTTATTTACAATGGATAAAGAATAAGTGGAAGCTTTAACTCACCAACATAATCACTTAACCCAGTGGCTAAAATATAAGTACTTAAACAGAGTCAGCAAAGTGCCATTCATATTAACTATATGCAAGATTCCTTGACAGCATAATGATTTGACTAAATTTATAATCATTTAGATCACAAAAAATTTAACAGTTTCTAGGTTTCCTTATCACCATCTCCTTGTATTCTTCCTTGTATTAATAAACATTCTCCCAACTGCAATACTTTAAAAAAATGTCCAATATTTCTAATATTAAGAGATTTCACTAAAAAATAAAGGTTTTAAGGTTACACAGGATGAGTAGATTTTAGATATACGCTGTTACACAGCACAGAGACTATACTTAAAAATAATACATCATATTATGTTTGAAAACTCAGGGCTGATTGTGAACATCTTCATCATAAAATGGAAAGTATATGAGATTATGAATATGTTGCTAGCCTGATTTAATGATTTCATGACATACATAGGTCAAAACTATATACCATATGCACAATTTTATTTGTTGAAAAAGATTGGCAATAAAAATAATAACATATTGAACATGAAGAGTCTATGAACAAAACTCACCAAAAAAGAAAAAAGAAAAAATAGGAAATTAAGAGTTGTAACTATTTGGAAATCTCAGAAGTTTGAGCAACTGGGCCATCAGTGCACACATGGTGCTTTGCAGCTGAGACAAAAGCCAAGCGGCCACCTGTTGACTTGGGGCTTACTAGTCCACTACTGCATTCATCGTTTCCTAATCGTCTTACACCCAGCCAAGTCCCCTGTTTAGGATATTTGCTTAGCCCATGCTCATGATGCTATTTTTCAACTGAATTACAACAAAAAAAAAAACTGAATGGATCTTAGAGTTCTGTCTGATGAGCTTTGAGAAGTGCAAAGTTCCCTGTGTTCCCCACCAAGAACAAGATCTCAAACTACAGAAGCATTCCTTATGGCTCTTTGGCAGCTACCTCCCTACCCTTACACTGTCCCTGGGCAAGTTCAGTCAACACAGAATACTCTTATATTTCACACACCTGGACTCTGACAGCATGTATGTATTTCTGTATTGTATATTCAAGTAATCTCTCTAAGATTCTATTCAACAGATTTTTCTTTTGCCCATCCAATACACAGCACTATGATATACTGACTTCCGGACTCTGTTTATTTCACTGATCAATATGCACCTCTTCACAGTACTGCATTGCCATCCTGATGGTGTAACAGTGAGAGCCTTGGAATTACATTTTAAAAATGTTTCAACCTCTTACCCCTATTATTATGACTTCCTAAGTCCTCTGCATTTCAATATAAAGTTCAGAATGAAACAAGAACGTGCACACGTGTACACACACACACTTCTTGAAATTTGATTTGGGGCTCAATTTGAATTCATGGACATACTATATCTATCCATTTACTTGTATCTCTACTAATTTCTCCCTAAAAATTTAGGTTTTAGTGACTCGGTCTCTAATTACCTTTATTTCTTGATATTTGTTTCTTACTGTTACAAATGGTATTCCTTATTCTACTTTTCAATTAGTCATTGTTAGTATACAGAATTTCATTAAACTTCTCTACAATGATTTTGGTTTCTTATAACTATTAAACTTACTTGCTATATTGGGTATTTTTATTTGTAATGCTTTTGTAATGTCAGAGCAGTGCTTCTGTAATCAATTCATCTTGTGCTTTGCTTTGCTACAAATACAATGTTATTAGGTTGTTTTGCTTGCTCATGTGCTTCACTGTTCATGTACTTATTTTAAAACTGTTAGTTTGCAAAACAAACAAACAAAAACAAACAAAAAAACCTGTTCAAAAACACGGCAGAACTTTTACTACTAAAAATGTCCCATAATGTTATGCCCCAAGCAACTCAAACACTGCTGATATTTTTAAATCTTTACTATCAGCAAAATCATCATCCCAGCTCAAGAAACCACTTATCTCCCAACTTGAGGTGAGCGGTAGCCCAACCACTAGTTTCATGAATTCATCATTCATCTTTTTCAGATTTTGTTTCCTCAAGGTATTTACAAAGATTTCAGATATTTGTAATAAATATTGTTATGTACGAGTACACACACACATAATGAGGTTATGTCTTACTTAAGCCTTTTCCATTGTCTCCCCTTCTCTCAGGAATAAGTTCAGGAAACTATGGAGCCTTTTCCTTTCTACTCTCCATCATCTGCCCTTGCCACTTTCTCTGCAACTTCACCCCTGACACATGCTGAAGAGTACCAAGTTTTGTTCTGCCTCAAATCCTTCGTGCAGGTTCTACAATTGGAATGCTCTTTCCACTCATCTTATATACCTCTATGCTCTTATCAGATCTCTCTCTCTTTTTTTTGTTTTATTTTAGGGTGTATTAAGGAGTCTTTATTAATCAAGTTTGGTGATAACAGGGCCCACTAAAAATTAGCAAATGCCAAGCCCATATGACAATTCAATGTTTTTGCAAAAAAACATTTTTTCTTACTTATTTGTGCGGCAGAGTGACATAAACACACAGAAACACACCTATCATCTACTGGGTTACTTTCCAAATGAGTCTAAGAGCCAGGCTGAGCAAGAGCAAAAATCAGGACCCATGAAATCCATCCAGGTCTCCACGTGGGTAGCAGGCACCTAGAAACTTGGATCATCAACTGTTGTCTTCCAAAGTTACATCAGCAGGAAACATGATCAGAAGCAGAGGAGTTGGGATTGGAATTGACACTCTGATACAGAATGCTGGCATCCCAAGTGGCAGCTTAACCTGCAGAACAACTCTAGCCTCCTGGTCTCAGGTTAAAGTCATTCCTTTCTTCTTTTTAAAAATTTATTTAAAATTTAGAGTTATATATAGAGGGGGAGACAGAGAGATCTTCTATTCTCCAGTTCACTCCCCAGGTGTCAGCAATGGCCAAGGCCAGGCAAAGGCAAAACCAGGAGCAAGGATCTTCTTCTGATTCTCCTACAGGGGCAGTAAGGACCCAAGCATTTGAGTCTTTTTCCACTAATTTTCCCAGCAATTAGCAGGGAGGTAGATTGGAAGTGGAGGAGTTGGGTGTAAAACATTATCCGCATGGGATGCTAGCATCCTAAGTGGTGAGTTAATACCCTGTGCCAGGAAGCCACTATTACTATTCCAATATTCATTTTATTGACATCCTATTGTTTAGTATGGTCTCTAAGCTTCAATCAGTGCCCTTCAGAGCACTTATCCCAAATTCACTATACCAAGGAAAGATTCTTT